GCATATCTCACACACCGGCAGAGGATGGAGAGGTGGAGGCAGGGGTAGAAGGCTATTGTTTTCTCCACAGTCTCTCTCTCTCTCTCTCTCTCTCTCTCTCTCTCTCTCTCTCAGTTCCCAGCATTTACAGTGAAAATACAAACTGAGAGGAAATACAAGGTTTTATTTAGTGGTTGCAAATATGTCTAGGCAAACAGACACACCGAAAGCCCAGCAACACTTCACGGCACGGTGTGACTGGATAAAAGATACACCCCTTGGAAAACGATGTATCGTGACACTGAGGAACTCAGCTGTAATTAATTAAACCATGTGACCACTGGATGTCCCCACAGTTCCTCCAATGCAGTTTAGCTCTCCTTGTAGTCTTGGCAGATGGAAACCGAACGCGTTCTTTCAAAATCTGTGGAGAGGCAGATGACTGAATATCCCTGGATTTTCAGTAATCTGTAGATGCCGGTTCTGATATGGAGCGCCTTGTGACCTCCGTTGCTTACTATGGAGCTCCTGCACACATGGGCTTCCTCATTCGGTCAAGGCTGATGGCTCACGGCAGGTATCTCTTTCTGTCATTGAAGCACAAGGGGAAACCACAAATGAGGAAGCCCAGCATATACACAAACCCACAAAGAAGCAGCCATATTGGGATGCTTGGCTCTAGCTGACAGGAGAAGTGCTCTGGCGTTTGGGCTGGAGGGATCGATTAAGCTGTCATGAAGGGAACATTCAGTGGACTCCTCCAATCCGTGCATCTCAGGCTGAGTTCCCTAGAAGAAGGACTGAAGGTAAAGACTAATGCACAGGGATTATTATTAAATCGAGGTCTCTTTCACATTATACAGTGGGAGCTTCTTCTCATTGATGATGATGATGAAGGAAATCAGCCCTGAGTGCTCACTGGAAGGACAGATCCTGAAGCTGAGGCTCCAATACTTTGGCCACCTCATGAGAAGAGAAGACTCCCTGGAAAAGACCCTGATGTTGGGAAAGATTGAGGGCACAAGGAAAAGGGGACGACAGAGGACGAGATGGTTGGACAGTGTTCTTGAAACTACTAACATGAGTTTGACCAAACTGCGGGAGGCAGTGGAAGACGGGAGTGCCTGGTGAGCTCTGGTCCATGGGGTCACGAAGAGTCGGACTCGACTAAACAACTAAACAACAACAAAAATTTATGTGGGTGCTAGCACACAATGCTGCGGGAAGCAAAAAGACGAGCTGACGTTTTCGATACTGGTGTCATAGGAAATCACGTCTTCATATTATTAATTATGCCGATGATTAAGTTTATGATTTACCCTTCACCGGCAGGCCCTAGGGCAAGTTGCAACAATTTAAAATTCAGAACAAAAAACAAATCACAGCAACAGGAATAGTGGAGATGCGAGGGATTGAAAGTGGGGGCCTTCCACATGTAAAGCATCAACTCTTGCCATGAAGCAATGGCCATTCCTTCCCTTCCTCAGAGGTCCAACTCCATATGACCTCCCTGCCTCATACATGGTGAGTGGTTACATTGGTAGGACCTTCTTAGCAGTGGTGTTGGAGTAGAGGAAGTGCCTCCCTCAGAATATGCACCTCACTCCTTCCTCTCTGTCTTTCAAGCCAACCTCTGTCCGCCTGATGCATTCCAGCTGTTTTGGACCACAGCGCCCATCAGCCCTTGCCAGCTCACCCCACCTTTCCTCCAAAAGTAGTCCAGGTCGGCAAACAACAAAATGCGAAAACAACACAATTTAAAGCAAAAATTAAAATTAAAATATTCAGGTTCTCCATTCCCTTGGTTCTCCCTTTCCCACCACATTCATAACAGTACTCAAACCCATATTTATAACCACTTTTATATACATATTAATAAGGAAGCATTTAATCTATTAATATTCATTCTGGATCCAGACTCATTGGAATCTCCAAGTTTTTATAGTGAGAAACCTGCTACTCAAATAATCTTAATATATCTAAGAAATATTGTATGGTTTTCAACAAATACAGTAGATTCTTTATCTCTCTCCAGGACCACTCTAACTCCCCCAATTGTTTTCTATTCTTTTCTTTCTTCTCCTCCTCTCTCTCTCTTTAGGTTTTCTTTTCTTGTTGATAATTAAATAGCTACAATATTATAATATCTCAATCAGAAATGTTCCTTATTTGTTTCTATATTATCTAGATTGAGAATGTATAACATTGTTAAAGTGTTAAAAACTGAATTAGAATGATAAAAAATGAAAACATATTCAGGCATCTAAAAGCAATTTTTAAAAACCATTTAGAAACTTTTAAAGACATCCAAAAAACCCAAAAACCTTTTAAAGGCTGATAAAGAAGATAATTGTATGTTTGATGCTGATGGAAACATGGTGTGTAAATGTTAAAATTATAAATAGAGAAGAATTAAAATTTAATGCTAAAACATTGCTTTTATTCATAAAATAAATAAAATAAATGTATTAATAATGAAAATGATGATGATAGAAGAAAATGTATGTTTCATGCTGAGACCTGAATAGTTTTTCAGAAACAAACAACTCCATCTTGTTCATCTAAACTCTCTTCCCCACCTCTAGGTAAAAGGAAAAGGTATAGAACCCCATGACAGTTAAGTTCAGTCAAAGGCGACTATGAGGTGTGACGCTCATCTCTCTTCAGGGCAAGGGAGCCAGCATTTGTCCACAGCAAAGCTTTTGAGTTCAACGGCTTGGTGTCTAGAAGAATATTTGGAACCAAGTCCTTCTTCTGTCCCACATCAGCTGCTTTGATTTACCCATCTGATGGCTATTAAATTCAACCAAGTTAAGTCAACAGGGAGTTTGGTGCTAAAAATTTACAGAAGATTAGATTAGCGATCTACAGGAAATAGATTGCCTGCTTTGCAGGAGAAAAAGAAAAAAGAGGGGAGCCCTCTGCACCTGAAATGTATTGACAGAGCTGTTTTTACCTAATCAACTCAATCGGGCAGTGGAAAACATTTGGTTGCAAATTCAGCCCTGCCTCGGCATAAACAGATTGCATTTTGGGTTGTGTTATTATTAGTGCAGGCTGGACAGCTTGAATGTGAGGATAATTTATTCCCTGTACACTTCTAATTACAGCAAAGGAGGTTCGATCAGTGACACACTTGTCCATCTCGTTCTTTCTCGTCTTTCAGGCATGGCTGCATGCAGTTAAGGAGACAGACCAGCGCAAAGCATATGAGAAACACAACTCTGTCAGGAAAGGACTGAAGTGTTACCGTTAATTATTCTGGACCATGTGCTCGTTTACAACCCATCTAACATGAGAAATTGTCTCCGAGGTGTCAAACAGCATCACTTACGTAAGTGCAGGGGAAGCAATCGCAAAATGTTTGAGTGACTGGATTTGGGTGACCTGCCAGAGACCCTCACCAGAAGCTTTGAGATTTAGCTCCCAATTTGTGTGTCTTCAAGTTCGACGCAGAATTTAAATTGGGACTCACTCTTGAAGTGTCTCTTTAAAAACACACATGCACACACACACACACGCCCAATTCACTGTTGGGAGAGGAGGGAAAGGGGAGAAATTTGATTCCATTAAGATTTAAAGGCGAACCTACATAATTTCCAAAATAACGCATGGGCCGATTTCTTTTTATGCTGCCACCCTTCAAAATCGGCAGCACGGTTCTCCAGTCAAGTAGTTTGCACATAAATGCATATACTAGCGTATAAAAATGTAGATATTAGTGGAAATAACAAAACTAGGGGGAAATTGCTTTGCAAAATGTACATATTAGGCAAAATTGCATACAAGCACGTGTATATGAGGAGAAATCTGCTGACAAATTTTCATGAGGATTTTAAAATATCATAAACTGTGGAAACACAACCTGACTGTCTGTCTCCAGGCATGGTGGTCGTCCACAAGGGATTCTCATGTGGTGGGGTTGATGGTGCCAGCCTTCACGTCATGTTTGCAGACATTTTTGTAAGGCAGAATTGGCCTGTCAATGGGCCTGGCGCCTGAAGCTAGCTCCCCACAGAACACATCCTTGGGGGTCCTGCCACATTCCATTCTGCAGAAATGGCCAAACCAGCATGGATGTCACTGAGACAGGAGTGCAAACATGTTGATATGTATAGTATAGGTAGGTACTATATAGAGTAATGTAGGTATGTTTTATGTTATGAAAATTAGGTAGTGTGTTGTGTACGTGTATTGTGTAAATGTATATGTATGTGTTTTATATGTTAATAAAAAACAAAAACAAAAAAGAGACAGGAGTGCAAACATGCTGGCAACATGGGTTTGGGAGAGCACATCATCGTCATCATCATCACTTTGTTTGTATGCCGGCTTTCCATAGTTAAAACAATGCTCAAGGCAGCTTACAACATGACAAGATTTACATAATCACCAACGTAACAAAAGTCATAAGCAATAAATAAAACACGTCAAAAAGGGCACAACCAAATGGAAAACCATTTCCACATAAATCATAAAATCTAAAACTAAGAATACAGTGGTACCTTAGGTTACAGACAATTCAGGTTACAGACGCTACAGGTTACAGACTCCGCTAAGCCAGAAATAGTACCTCGGGTTAAGAACTTTGCTTCAGGATGAGAACAGAAATCGCGCAGCGGCAGCGGGAGGCCCCATTAGCTAAAGTGGCACCTCAGGTTAAGAACAGTTTCAGGTTAAGAACGGACCTCCGGAACGAATTAAGTTCTTAACATGAGGTACCACTGTACAGCATTAATATCACAGTTTAAAATGACGTAGGTAAAAAATAAAAGCAATTTAAAAAACAAAAACGGAGCCCTCTCTGCCGAGCAGCAGCAGCAGTCCTTTATGGAGCCTGTCAGGCCCCGTTCCAAGCCAGGTGGAGAGAAGCAGGCCAGGGCCCTTCAGGCTCCCAGCAGGTCAGTCCTGGGCCCATCTTTGTTTGGAATTCTGTCCTGCCATGTGACAGACTATTGGCCCATCCAGTTGTCAACATGGTCAAGCAGTGGCTCTCCTGGGTGCCAGGCAGGGACCTAATGTGGAGATGCCAGGGTTTGAACCAGGAGCCTTCTGTATGCAAAGCAACTGCTCTGCCAATGAGCAACAGCCCTGAACTACCCAGTCATTGCACTTCCATTGTTAGCTACAAAAGGGCTTGCAATTTTCCACCCATGCTATCAGAAGCATCGCCATGCCTCCCTGTGTACCTTCTGCAATGTTCTGTTCACACCAATGGGCATGGCATAACTTCCGACTATAATACTTGTGATGGCTGATAATATTATGACCCCTTTATTTTATATCATTTAAGAAATGAACCCTTTAATTATTTCTAAAACAGTTTTCCAGCTTGCTTTTTTTTAAAATTAAAGAGATGCACTGCTACAGCACTATGCTGCTTTAATGTCCCTCTATTATGGCACCACACTGCTACGGCGCCACCCTGCAATAATGCTGTAGCGTTATGTTGTTATAATGCTGAACCTCTCTTTCATTAAAGAAAATTGTAACTGGGGAATTAAAGGATTGATAATTAATTCAATGCCAGATTAGAAATAATTAATTAAAAGATAATTAGCAGATTGGTTAAGGAACAGTAATGGGGTCATAAAATGGTGCTAACCCCAAATTATAATGAACGTGTGCTCAGTTGCTGTGGATTCGTCGCTGCCTACACAACAGGCACATAGAAAGTTGCCTTATATTGTCTCAATATTGTCTGCAGCGGCAATGGCTCTCCGGGATTTCAGGAAGAGATTTCTTCCAGTTCTACTTAGATACGTTGGGAATAGAACCTGGGACCTTCTGCATGCAAGGCAAATGCTCTAGTGCTGAGCTATGGCCCTCAGCTATGGAATTATGGAGCTCTGAGCTCTGAATGATTGGGCTGCCAGTGGCTACCAGCCTTGACGGCTATGTTCTTCCTCCACTATTGGAGGCTGTTGCCCTCAGGTCTTGACTTTGGGCTTCCTGGAGACATAACACTGGTCTTGAAAGACCTACACTGGCTCCCGGTACGTTCCCGAAGCACAATTCAAAGTGTTGGTGCTGACCTTTAAAGCCCTAAACGGCCTCGGTCCTGTATACCTGAAGGAGCGTCTCCATTCCCATCGTTCTGCCTGGACACTGAGGTCCAGCGCCAAGGGCCTTCTGGCGGTTCCCTCCCTGCGAGAAGCCAAGTTACAGGGAGCCAGGCAGAAGGCCTTCTCGGTAGTGGCACCCACCCTGTGGAGCTCCCTCTCACCAGATGTCAAAGAGAACAAATCTACCAAACTTTTAGAAGGCATCTGAAAGCAGCCCTGTTTAGGGAAGCTTTTAATGTTTAATAGGTTATTGTATTTTAATATTCTGCTGGAAGCCGCCCAGAGTGGCTGGAGAAACCCAGCCAGATGGGCAGGGTATAAATAAATAAAATAATAATAATAATAATAATAATAATAATAATAATAATAATTTGATTGGGCACTGTGAGAACAGGATGCTGGACTAGATGGGCCTTTGGTCTGATCCAGCAGGGCTCTTATGTCCCTCATATCAAGACCTTGTATGAAGTTGGAAGAGGAGCAGCTATGGAGATTGTGCTGCCCTTACATTCTTCTGAAAAGCTTTTTGGTCTAAGAAAAGGCCAAAATACTTAAGTCTCCAAAGCACCCTAGGTACAGAATAGAAGCTGCATCAGGTAAGAGTACACAGCAACATTCATCTCAGTAGTATCATGCTACAGTTATTTTCCAATTGACACCCAGTGGTGAAACATGGGGTGCCAATGCCCCGGGCCACGCTGAGGGTGGTGGATGGGAGGGAGGGAAATAGACACATTCAACTGCCTAACAGCATCTGTGTCACCCAGCAGATCACAGTCGCAGAGATCAGAGAAGTCATTCTGTTGTCCAGAGGTCAGTTTCTGGTTTCATGGAAAAGCCATTTTCAGCGACTTCCAGCAACGGAAGCATGCAGCTGTATTGAGGCAGCACTGGGTGTTGAAAATCTGCACCCCTAACAATTTTGTGCAACCGCCCCTGTGCCCCCCCATGCTACACTGCTGCTGTCACCCATTCAGATTGACCTTCATGTGCTAGCGTGTGCCTTCATAATGAAATAGCAAAGGCACTACAGCCCTTGTAGTGCAACAAATCTGCTTTCTAAAAAGGAAGAGGATATTTTGTTGAAAGAAAAATGATGGCATATCCAAGTGGGAGACATGTGAAGTAACCAACATTTGAAACTAGCATTGCATAACCTCTGCAGAAATTTTGTGCGAATGAATTGGGACGGACGGACGCTCACGAAGCAGACATGAATATAGCCATAGCATTGGTGGAGAGAGACAAAGGATCCTCTCCTTTTGGCCTAGGGTCATTTGAGAAGCCTCGGGTCACTTCTCCGAGCTTCCTCGGCAAACTTTCAGCAACACCAGGCGCTGTCTGCGAGCAATCCTTTCAATAAAGAGACCCATATACCCTCTCCAAAAACAGCAGACATCAAGAAAGCATTCCTTTCCGCTAATTGGTATGACGACGAGACTACCCTGTTCTTATTTACAAAACTACAGATTTATGTCAAGCAAAGCCAATTATGCTTAATGCTTAAACTATTGCAGGTGCTGAATGACTTTGTTGCTAGGCAGTGGAAATGAAAAATGCTCTCTGAACGCATCTCATTGCAATGGAGAGCATGTGCTCCATCATCAGTGCAAACTCAACAGATGGATAGCTTAATCCCTGCCACTGATCTCTCTTCTCTCCCCCCCCACCCTCATTCTACCTGAAACAATGTCCCACATGCTTTATCTTGCCCGTAGTACCTGGGAAATGGTTCAAATTCTTTTTTTTAAAGAGCACTTCTTAATGTCATCCAGCAGATACATTTAACTCATTCAGAGTAGGCTTGGTAATTTACAGGGTGTGTGTGTTTTTTAATGAAGTTTGCTTTGCTGTGCAGGCTGAAGGGGTTTAGCATCTGGTTCGTGGGTTTGGGTTGTGGTCACTCAATAATGGCTATCGTCGACGTTTAGTCATTTAGTTGTGTCCGACTCTTCGTGACCCCATGGACCAGAGCACGCCAGGCACTTCTGTCTTCCACTGCCTCCCACAGTTTGGTCAAACTCATGCTGGTAGCTTTGAGAACACTGTCCAACCATCTCATCCTCTGTTGTCCCCTTCTCCTTGTGCCCTCAATCTTTCCCAGCATCAGGGTCTTTTCCAGGGCGTCTTCTCTTCTCATGAGGTGGCCAAAGTATTGGAGCCTCAGCTTCACGATTTGTCTTTCCAGTGAGCACTCAGGGCTGCAATGGCTATAGCTACACTGGATTAGTCGCGGCTGTAGCTCAGTGGTTACAGCACCTGCCTGTGGATGCAGAAGCTCCCAGGTTCATTCCCTGGCATCTTCAGGTAGGTCTGGAAGAGGCACCTGAAACCTTGCTATCCTCCTGCTGCAGTCCAGTACAGAGCTGATTCTCTATTTCTATTTCCATTTCCATTGCTTTCAATGTTCGAAATGTCTCTGAGTGGCTCCAGGCATTACATAATGACTTGAAAAGACGGGGAGAGGAAGCATGAGACCCTCAGTGTCAGGCTTCAGGGTATCAGCTTCCTCCCCCATGGCAGTAGATAAGCAGAACAAAGGAAAAGGAGTTCTACCCGGACACTTAGGTCCAGCTCCGAGGGCCTTCTGGCGGTTCCCTCACTGCGAAAAACCAAGTTTCAGGGAGCCAGGCAGAGGGCCTTCTCGGTAGTGGCACCCTCCCTGTGGAACGCCCTCCCACCAGATGTCAAAGAGAACAACTACAAGACTTTTAGAAGACATCTGAAGGCAGCCCTCTTTAGGGAAGCTTTTAATGTTTGATGCATTACTGTATTTTAATATTTTGTTGGAAGCCGCCCAGAGTGGCTGAGGAAGCCCAGGCAGATGGGCGGGGTATAAATAATAAATAATTCTTCTTCTTCTTCTTCTTCTTCTTCTTCTTCTTCTTCTTCTTCTTCTTCTTCCTCTTCTTCCCAGTTAGAAGCTTTCACTGCCCCCTCCATCCCGATTAATATATGTCACTCCTACTTCTTGTAATCTGAGCTTGGAGCCGCTGTGTTTTCTGTTTTGACACTTTCTGAGCTGTCCGGGACTTTGGGGAAGGGTGTGTGTGTGGATACTATCCAGAGACTGTGAATCTGTAAACTCTCTCCTAGTGTTCCTTCTGCTAGCTGTTCCCCATCCAGTATTTCCCAGTTTCTGGGAATACCGTATTTTTCCGTCTATAAGACGCCCCCATGTATAAGACACCCCCTATTTGGGGGGGACTCAGATTTTTAAAAATGGGGGGAGATGTATTCATGTATAAGGCGCCCCCTAATTTTTGACATTATTTTTTAGGGGGAAAACCTAGTCTTATACACAGAAAAATACGGTGTGCCCCTCTGCAAACCAGTGTTCCAAATCTATACTGTCCTCCTGCTCCTGGGAAGATTCAGGATCAGGAGGAGGGAGTGGCTCCAAACATTTTTCCTCAGTGCAACCCTCCTCAGAGGACACTCAGCTACAGCCTTCTCCAACCTAGTGTCCTCCAGGTATTTTCAACCACATCTCCCATCAGCCCCAGCTATGTTCCTGCTGCTTCTCATGCACAAGTGGACATCTGCCTCTTGCTGCTTTGCATACCATCAGCAAACACAGGTTGGAGTGGTTGCTGAGAAACATATCAGCCACTCGAATGTATTATTAGTCTTATTACCACTACTTCATGCTTCCTACTCCTTACTGCTGACTGCCCTGCCTCAGTCGCCTGGACTTTTTGCTCAACAGACACAGATTCCCAACCTTCTGGAACAGGAAACTTACACAGCATTGTGATGCAAGAGATTTTATTATATGCAAACGTCATTTTCAGAGTGAACGCTTGCACACACACGGAACACAAAGTTGTAAGTATTCCTCTTGCCCACTTACAAGGCACCTGTTGGGGTGTCTCAGTAAAGGGAGCTAGGCATATGGAAAGCTAAGGATCGGGGCTGAAGTCTGAATGCTCTCGCTGAGATTCCAAATGTTATCTATCTTATGAGGACATGAAAAGGAGAAACAACAGTCCATTTATTGTTAAGTCAGTTCATAAACACAGACAGGAATGTATCATTAAAATCTGACAGACAATACTCTGGTGACTGACTGCGCCGTGTGACCAACCAGTCATTTTCAGAGCAAGATTTCACAGGAGAGTCTCCACGGGAGACAAAGGAGAGGGGCAATCCAGGATGCTGTCATAAAATATAAGCGATTTCTCATGCTGTAAAAGTTGCTCTTGAAGAAGACTCCCTCTGTATCCTTTGTCGTAGTCCTGCTGTAGATTAGTGTACCTGCAAAGCAAAAATAAATTAAATCTCCTTTGATGATGATGATTTATTATTTGTACCCCGCCCATCTGACTGGGTTGTCTCAGCCACTCTGGGCTGCTTCTATTGTATAAAGACATTTGAAGTGCAATGTAATACTGTTTGGATATACCAGCCGTGTTTAATGCCTTCAAGAGTCCAAAAGGGAAAGAGTGATGATGATGATGATGATTACGATTACTATTACAGTGGTACCTCAGGTTACATACGCTTCAGGTTACAGACACTTCAGGTTACAGACTCCGCTAACCCAGAAATAGTACCTTGGGTTAAGAACTTTGCTTCAGGATGAGAACAGAAATCATGCTCTGGCGGCACAGCGGCAGCAGGAGGCCCCATTAGCTAAGGTGGTACCTCAGGTTAAGAACAGTTTCAGGTTAAGAACGGACCTCCAGAATGAATTAAGTTCTTAACCCGAGGTACCACTGTATTAAATTTGTATACCACCCTCCATCCAAAGATCTCAGAGTAGTTCACAGCATAAAAAGACAAGATAAAAACACCAAACACACAATAAAAACAAGAACAAAGCAACATTCCTCCCTCCCACAACACATTTAAAAGGGCATTGGATGTCAACCAGCCCAAGGCCTGGTTGAAGAGAAACTTCACAAAAAAGGAGCCACTGCAGAAAAGGCCCGTTCTCATTTTGCCATCCTCTGGACCTCTTATGGAAGAGGCACACGAAGAAGGGCCTTCAATATGTTGAACTGCCTCATGCAGAGTCAAGCCAAAGGTCTAACCATTTTAGGATTGTGACTGACAGCTGCTCACCTGTTACCTAAGATGGGGATATCGGGGACCTGTATGCGAAGAAAGTCCCTATTTCTGTTTGTGTTAAGCCTATTTTGAAAGGAATGTTTAAGCCCATCTGATACAGCTGTGTATTCAGGACTATTTGGCTCTGTTTCCCATCCCTGTTCACTGTAGCACATGTGAAAACCCCCAAATCAACCTAGAACACAGCAGCTAAAACCAGCATCCTTCGCAGCAAAGGCAATGTTTGGTGCATGAAGCACTCAATAGATTGTAACTGTAATTACCTAAAAGCATCTAAAAGACGGGATTGTATGCCCCAGGCCAGCATCTCTGCAGAGGGCATTCCACACACACACACACACACACACACACACACACACAGTTCCAACAATCATTTAACTTAACTTCTTATCTTACACAATATTTTAGACTTCTGTCAAGAACCTCTGAAGATTTTCCATTCTTTATCACTTGTTCTGCATTTCTTAATTTCTCTATTACTTTTAATTGTCCTTAACTAATAATTCCTTTGAAAGTCTTCCTTGCAATATTTCACAAAGTCCTCCTTACAGAACTTCTTGCAGTCCTACTTGCTTAATCTGTTTATCACAATTGCTTTTCAAATAATTCAAATATTGCTCCAGTCCTCTAAGAATCTCTGATCCCGCAGGTTTCGAATCCTTCCTGTTAATTTATCTAACTCTGCATAGTCCATTAATTTCATTTGCCATTCTTCTTTTGCTGGTAATTCTGCAGAGGGCATTACATCAGGAAGGGCCACCACTGAAAGGGCCCTCTCTCTTTCTAGTGGCTTCTCACTTGGGGAAGGCCCTCCAAGAGAGATATCAAGCCCCTGTCTGAAAATGCAGCGTCACATGTGAATATTCATTCCGTCCAGGCTGGTCCGACCATGCGTCAAGATTTCATGTGCTGAATATGCAAGGACTTACCTGTGTGAGATGGTCCAGAAGCCTAAAGTGTTAATCATCATTAGTGAGGCCAAAAAGAAGAAAAACCGCTCTAGTCTACCCTCATTTAGAACATTTGGAAACCAGTCACCTATTGGGGAGAAAGAAGAAAAAACTGTATTTAGATGAGCTCCAAGAAGCCCATCAGAAAAATAGAGTGTAGAGTGTCAAGATATTTGAAGATGGCTATCATATCTCCTCTCAGTCTCCTCTTTTCTAGGCTGAACATATCCAGCTCCTTCAAGCACTCCTCATAAGGTCCATTTTCCAGGCCCTTGATGTTGGTTGTCCTCTTCTGCACACATTCCAGCTTGTCAACATCCTTCTTAAATTATAGTGCCCAGAATTGGACACATTAGTCCAGGTGTGGTCTGACCAAGGCAGAATAGAATGGTACCCTCCAACCTCAGAAGGGTCCCTTGACACAAAGCATGAGATTGCCAAATGATGTGCATGTTTCATGACAAATAATAATAAATAATAATAATAATAATAATTTTTTATTTATACCTCGCCCTTCCCGGTTCAGAAAACCGGGCTCAGGGCGGCTAACAACAAATTTAAAACACTTAATTGATGCAACAAAAAACAGCATAAAATACAGTATAAAACGTGAATAACAATAAATTCAGAATTCAAAAATCAATTTAGGGGGAAAATCCATCCAATAAACATTAGATGATCACCAGGGCTAGCTGGCTAGATTAGTCCTATTTGGACCAGCGAGGAGACCAGGGGAAAATTAGCTGTGGGATCCCAGAGCGGGTAATCTTCATAAAAAGGGGGAGGGGGAGGGAAGGAAGGGGAATAAAAGATCAGGCTAAGTTCAAATTGAAAGCCAGGCAGAATAGTTCTGTCTTACAGGCCCTGCGGAAGGAAGTTAAATAGTGATGAGGCTGGAATTGTGTGGTCTGCTTCTTACAGTAGATTATCCCGACCCACTGCTTCCCAACTTTCTTGCATAACAGAATGTAACTCCCAGTAAGATTATGCATTCTGGGGGGTTGGGGGTTGGGCCAGATGCCCTTTAAGGTCCCTTCCAACTCTATGACCTCATCGGATACAGCAATTGTGGTGTAGTGGTTAAGAGCGGTAGACTCGTAATCTGGGGAACTGGGTTCGCGTCTCCGCTCCTCCACATGCAGCTGCTGGGTGACCTTCACACTTCTCTGAAGTCTCTCAGCCTCACTCACCTCACAGAGTGTTTGTTGTGGGGGAGGAAGGAAAAGGAGATTGTTAGCCATTTTGAGACTCCTTAGGGTAGTGATAAAGCGGGATATCAAATCCAAACTCTTCTTCTTCATTTTTGGTGCCCCAGATGTGTGCACAGATTTACATATGTTACACACACACAAAAAAAAAATCCATTAAAAAATCATATTGTATTGGAGAGTGTGTTGGAAAGTGTGTTAAAAGTGCATATACATAAATGGTGCACACAAAATTTGCACAGTGGGACACAAAGGAACAGCATGAAATGGGACAGGAATAGGATGGAGGCAGGTGAAGGCAGCAAGACCTAAATGGGGCAGAGCAAGCAGTTCAACCCCAGCCCTAGTGGCTGACCTATGATATTTTGTTACCAGAGTTGGAGCGGCAAATGGTGTCCCCCAGGTCTGCATATGCAATACCCAAGTCCAGAAAATCCCACAAGCACCTCTCTTCTGGCAGTAAAAATACACTGATAAGAATAGCTATTTGCTTCCTGTGAAGTGCTTTTATGTATGTACCAAAGAGCACACAACAAGATCCTCTTGCCCAGAGATGGTCCCTACCAGAGAGGAATGGCAAATCAAGCTGATGGACTGTGCCAAAATGGCAAAGCTGACAGGAAAACCCAGGAACCAAGGAGATAAAAACTTTACAAAATAATGGGAAACATTTATAAGTTATCTAAGAGACCACTGTAAGCAGACGGAAACATTGGCAGGATTTTCATTTCACTTGTAGCGTAACAAATACCATGGATTATATGGAGTGATTTAAAAGTTAGAGTATGGAAGAATATGCAGTTGTAAATGTTTAAAATGGGACCCCATGGGGGGAAGTTGTGAGATTCGGAGGAATCTCTGTATATGGACATATATTTGGATTTTTATAACCTTGTACTTGTAAAATCAAATAAAAATTATTTTGAAAAGATCTTCTCTCTGGCACCCCTAAGCATGCATGGGAGGTATTAGCAGGTGCCAAGGAACATGTCCCAAGGGCAGCATGGTGCTCACGGGCACCATGTTGGAGAATCAAATTACATCTTCAATATACAGGAACATTTGCAGTGGCAAGCACAGTAAAGGTAGGAATGATGACCGAGTTTCCACTCCACGACTTGTGGTAGACACAGTGCATCATTGTAGGTTTGGAGGCGCTTCCATTTGGCTTCCTCTTTCATAACGTGTACAATGTTTATGTACATACAACCCCACTTGTCATGCGAGGTGTGGAGGGACTTCAGAGCCGGGAGAGACTTTGGAGGGTCCCCTCTTGTTGGAAAATACGTGCAAACCAGTTTTGCACACCAGTTCGTGATGAAGGCCAAACTGGGAGGTTTTTTTTGTGATATATGATTTCATTGACATGTGTATACAGGCTGAGCATCATGTTACAAGTGTGTACATGGATTCCCATGTGTGCAACCAGCACTCATGTTTGTTGATACACACACTGCTGAGAGGTTTAGGATCTTTTGCTGGAGTTATAACGCACACTTGTCTATGGATATGTGTTTTACCCTCAACTCCATGCCCACAAGTATAAGACAGGAGAGCTCACATCATAAACTCTCCAACAGATCTTGGTGCCTCGTTTGATTTCTGGGTGAGTTCCCAAAGTCATAGCTTTGGTTTCTGCACAAATCAAACCTCTGTTTCTTCCCAACTGCAAATGAACCTAGATAATCCCCATGATGTGTCTTCCATTCAGTGAAGGGGAAGGGGGCAAGCTTGCCTTGTCCTTCTGGAAGCATCACTACCTGGTTGTTTCTATGGCAACACACCCAGTATCTTACCAACTCTTTAGACATGTACAAAGGATGCTTAAGAGGCTGGACTAGGGTTATAAACTTAGCAAAAAGACTAGTTTGACCACCAGGCAGTTCCTTATACTACAGACTCACATCTTACAGAAATAAAATCACAGGCTTGGAGGGAACACAAATATATCAGTCAAACAACTCCACAATTCTATAACAGTGCAACCAATATTTTTGAAAGGCCAAACTGGGAGTTAAGGTGTAAGAGCAGCTGGGCCTATGGGGTGAGATGTTTCTGCCCTTCTCTTGGACAACTGCAAACACAACTTTGTTAAGCAATTTCCTCCACTGGATCAACAAGAATAAGCTGTCAGTTGCCAGCCGGGCGCCAGCAGAGTTTGCTCTGGCTCAGTTCCTCAGACAAAAACTGCCTTCATTTGTCAGGGAGCAGAACAGCAGCACCTCCTCCTCCACTCCCCTTGTCTTACTCCTCAAAGATGCAACAGACGGAGCCGAACTCCCAGAGCTAGGTTTAAAACATATCATTTAACACTGTCAGCTGACTGAGCACCTAGGAACTATATACTTCCCCCTTTAGTAGCTTATAAACTTTTAGAGCCATCATTCATAATCAAGCAGCTTTTCATTTTACACATCCCAGCGGCTGCAAGGACTCGAGAAGAGAATAAGTGTGTCTGACGGCAAGGAAGGGTTTTATATGGGTCCCTGTGCTACAGCTTATGGGTGGGAGGGAAAATCTATTTTTTGTTTGCATATTAATGAGAAGTGACTTAAGTTGCACTTCTCAAACCAATATGCAAAGCGAAGCACAGCTAGCCTTTGAAATTCGCACACTTCTGAATTTTGCGACACAGTTCTCCAACATCAACAAAAGGCATATAATTCAGAAAACAAGAAACAAAAATGCATTATGTTGGGGGAAGGTGTGTGCATTAGGAAATACTGCATACAAAAATGTGACCATTAGGTGAAATTTGCACTGATGTATGTTCAAAAGGTGTTTCTTTTTTTTAATTTTAAAAAAAGATTGCTGCAGAAATGCAGAGAGCTGAATTTAAGACTTCAAAAAATGAGAAGTAGAGAGGAATTGAAATAGACAGATTTGCCCATCCTTAGACACAGTTCATTTTGTTGAGTTCAACAGAAACTGGCTAGAATAGGGATCAGGGAGGAAATAGTTTGAACCACTCTTTGCTGTGGACCGACTGAATTTGACATTCTCAAAACTACTAGTGGATCAGAAGGCAACTTCCAGTCAGATCACACATTCCTCCAGATTTTGCAATGCATTTTTCATGCGTCAAAGTCATGCTTAAAAATACATATTTTGCGTTAATGTACATGGAAGCATCCTTTTTTTAGAAAAGTGTGTATATTTTATGTTAAACATGGATATCTTATGTAAATAGTGCACACAAAATAGATACAATGAACAGATCCAATGCACTGGAACAAATAAGACCCAACAAATTAAGCTCCAATAAGAAGAAAATAGGATGGAATTAGATGCCCAGTCCATCCCAAACTGAAGTTTAGGAATGGGAACTAGAAGTCCCAGGGCTTGGCATGTGTGGAGCAAAGTGGCAGAATCTTCACACCAAGTTGTGAAGCCTGTTTGTTACAGACTCACTTTGAGCTCACAAAAAGTATTTGAAACATGTTTAAAATGCTTATAAGAATAGGCAGCTCTATGGGCGGAAGTGACATGCATATGTTTGGAAGTGTATATCAGAAACAGACCCCAGACTCAAGTTTTGAAGGTTTTCTTAAATTCAACTAAAGGCCAACAATTATTGTTCATATTAACTTTGCTCTGGAAGAATCATTGATATTTGTGGATGTTCACATACTCCTAAATCATAGCCCTGCAATGTGAGGACTAAGAGATGGACAACAAAAGTAGATTCTGTTTGCCCTTATGGTGGCAAAGATACATATACTGCAAAGCTGGAACGACAAATAACCTCCCATTCACTACTCAGTCATCCGAAGATCTCACTGCCCTTTCTACATTTGAATACAAGGCTTATAATTGCCAATCTAATTTAGACATGTTTGGACATATTGACTTCCTATATTAATCTAGGCTTTTAAGTTAGGATTGATGGAATATTCATAGAATCATAGAATCATAGAGTTGGAAGAGACCACAAGGGCCATCGAGTCCAACCCCCTGCCAAGCAGGAAACACCATCAGAGCACTCCTGACATATGGTTGTCAAGCCTCTGCTGAAAGACCTCCAAAGAAGGAGACTCCACCACACTCCTTGGCAGCAAATTCCACTGTCGAACAGCTCTTACTGTCAGGAAGTTCTTCCTAATGTTTAGGTGGAATCTTCTTTCTTGTAGTTTGGATCCATTGCTCCGTATCCGCTTCTCTGGAGCAGCAGAAAACAACCTTTCTCCCTCCTCTATGTGACATCCTTTTATATATTTGAACATGGCTATCATATCACCCCTTAACCTCCTCTTCTCCAGGCTAAACATGCCCAGCTCCCTTAGCCGTTCCTCATAAGGCATCGTTTCCAGGCCTTTAACCATTTTGGTTGCCCTCCTCTGGACACGTTCCAGTTTGTCAGTGTCCTTCTTGAACTGTGATGCCCAGAACTGGACACAGTACTCCAGGTGAGGTCTGACCAGAGCAGAATACAGTAGCACTATTACTTCCCTTGATCTAGATGCTATACTCCTATTGATGCAGCCCAGAATTGCATTGGCTTTTTTAGCTGCCGCGTCACACTGTTGGCTTATGTCAAGTTTGTGGTCAACCAAGACTCCCGTTAATGTCAGATGGCAATGTTTTTAATCTGGCTTTCTCCCCTCTTTCCTTCTGTTTTCTTTTCAAAATAATAATCATCATCTTTTAAAATATTGATCTCATTTTTAACCAATCTGGCTTTTCAGCAACCATGTAATTCCACTTTAGGAAAATGCTAGTAGCCAGGATCAATCGGAGACTGTATGAGAGGATCACCATCACACATAGCTATATTTTTATTTCAGAATTTACCTGTCATTGTAAAGTCTATCAATGGTGGCTCACACCCAAATGGAACATAAAAACAATGTTAATCATATTCTCATTTTAAAAAACCCTCCACACATTATAAAGATTTTAAACAGTAGCAGCTAACACAATACACAGCACTACACATATTATTTAGGTGTAGCCCAGAGGATAGCTCAGTTGGTAGAGCATGAGACTCTTAATCTCAGGGTTGTGGGTTTGAGTCCCAGTTTGGGTGAAAGATTTCTGCATTGCAGGGGGTTGGACTAGATGGTCCTTGTGGTCCCTTCCAACTCTATGATTCTATGAAAAGCAGTGGGGAGCCGCTTAAAACCCAGTAAAATAGAGAGACCACATAGGGATGGAATTCTACCGATATGGGGCCACCACTGAAAAGGCATTGTCTATAATTTGATGGATCTTTTTGGTACACCCATGCAGAGTGCTTCTGAGATTGATCGTAATGCCTGGGCAGGTTCATATGGGTGTAGCTGATCCTTCAAATAACCTGGTCCCAAACTGTCTAGGGCATTGAAGGTTACCAGCAGCACCAGAACATAGTAAGCTGCCTTATACTGACTCAGACAATTGGTCCATCTAGCTCAGTGGCTCTGCAGATTTCAGACAGGGGACATTCCCAGTCCTACCTGGAGAAGCTAGAGATTGAAGCTGGGACCTTCTGCTTGCAAGGCAGATTCTCTACCATGGAGTTGCAACCTTTCCCTGAAATTTAAACTGGACACAGAAACAAGCAGGGGCCAATGTATGTCCAGAGATTGCCATAAGTCCAGATTTTCCCAGACATTACTGGGATTTCAAAGGCGGAATTGATGTCTGGAGGGAATTTCCAAAAGGTAGTGCTTTGTCCTGGATCTTAGGCAAGTCAAACAAAAAAACGTGTTTGGGGTCTTCCTAAAAAATCTCAACAACTTTCGGAAATATGGCAACCCTAAATGTACCTGGTATGCCATCTGGTCCCTACAAGCACCCAAGCAGTTGCAGTCGGTACCAGTGTAAGTTTCAGAGCAGTCTTTAAAGGCTGCCCCATGTATGGGGCATCCCAACAGCCTAGCATGAATGTAATCGGGCTCTTATAACCGAGGTGAGATGGAGTCAAAAAGGAACCGGTTCAGGGCAGTCTCCTTCACTCTTAACCTCCAACCCAAACCCAAATGTACATATTTGCACTGCAACTTTTTAGAAAAAAAACTTCTCTCCATAACAAGTAGCACAGGGGGATAGGTTTTGTCATGTGTCTCATTAAAATGTCAAGGGAGGTAGAAAGAGCCTTAAGAAATCCACTTCCCCAGCTTGTACTGAAATATCACTGTCACCCGTCATCTGTTTGCACTCATCAAATTCCCAAGAAGTCTTATTTTATCATATTCACACCATCCTTCATAGATACATTTTAAAAAATGATTAACGCCACTTAAGGCGCCGGGTGACTATCTTACCCACTTTGCCAGAAAAAATGCAACTCTAGACTAACAAGATGCTACGGGATGCAAATGAGGCTGAAATATCCTTGTCTGAAAGTTCTTCAAAATTCTGCGCCATTGTGGATCTGGGAAATTTGGGTTCCAATCCCCAAACCAGAGTGCTAGACCCATTGGATGGACTTGGAGATTTGACAATATGCTAGCATCCCTTCCGTAGCAGGACAACCAACATAGAGTTAACTGAAAGCCTTACTGTAATGCACAAATGCATGAATTAATCTTTGGCACTGGTGGGTGGGGACCATTTGTACTGGCAGGGTGGAAGGTAGGGAGATGAACAGTAGGTGGCGCCAGAGCCAATGCCATTGTAATTCTAGTTTCCCCCTCATCCTTTCCCCTGCTGAATTCTATAAGATCAAAAGGGAGACTAAGGAGGAGGAAGCTTATAAGCAGTGCTACCCTCTGGACTGGTTGCAAGAAGGCAGGCAAGTGGAGGGTGGTTGAAAGTTGGTGGTGCTCCAAAAGGTCAGTCTCAATTGGCCTTTGGTTTATCACTCAGCCCTGTCCTTTCCCACCAACAACATGAGTAATGTATTTATGTTTACTATGGTTCAGGTATTGGTGCTGGAGGAGACTCTTGAGAGTCCCATGGACTGCAAGAAGATCAAACCTATCCATTCTGTAGGAAATCATCCCTGAGTGCTCACTGGAAGGACAGATCATGAAGCTGAGGCTCCAATACTTTGGCCACCTCATGAGAAGAGAAGACTCCCTGGAAAAGACCCTGATGTTGGGAAAGATGGAGGGCACAAGGAGAAGGGGGCGACAGAGGACAAGATGGTTGGACAGTGTTCTTGAAGCTACCAGCATGAGTTTGACCATACTGCGGGAGGCAGTGGAAGACAGAAGTGCCTGGCGTACTGTCCATGGGGTCACAAAGAGTCGGACACGACTAAACGACTAAACAACAACAACAACAACAATGGTTCAGAAATAAACAAAGTTAGTCGCACTGAAGAGCCACTTAAATTAACAGGACTCTTTGCTCTAGGCAGGAAAAGCCAGTGCATTCCCCAGCAGATGGGTCTCCTGCCTCTGCCTGAAAACATCCAGTGAGGGAAAGCCTACCGTTCCACTAGATAATTGGTGTTAGAAGTTCAACAGCAAAGATATTACAAGTGCAGCTCAAGGGTTAATTCTTTTTGTGTTAAAGTCAACGAGGTAGGAGGCAGGCAGATGGAAGTGTGGGTAAGAAACCAGCAGTGAAATAAACTTCACAGATGTAATATATACCCTGACTGGTTATGTAGTTCTGTGAGAGTTTTCCCTCTGTATGTTTGGTTGAATGTCTCCTTGACCTGTACAAGGCGTGAAGTAAGAAAGAGGGCTGCATTCCTTTCTGGGCGACCTTCCAGGTTCCGCATGCCGGTGGTGGGTGACGACAAAGGCAAAAGTGGGCAGAGCAATGCATGTAAATTTTGTACACAGGCGCTCAGGACACTCCTGTCTTTGCTACACCCAGGCCAGCAAAAGGCATTATCAGAGTTCAAGGGCTCATTCAAGCTGGAAGAAAAACACTCTAGGAAGGTTGCAATGTTATTCTTCCAATAACAAAGGGAGGTAGGTTAACCTAAGAGATGGTGACTTGCCCCTGAACACTTCATGAGCTTCATGGCCGAGCGAGGATTTGAACCCAGTTCTTCTGGGTCCATGCCCAACATTTGAACAATTGCACTGTAACGGCATGGGTGCACGTACTGCAATACCTGAAAGCACAAACGGCTCCTCTGTCTCAAATTTATTTCCCCTCTGAAGTGCCTATAGGTGTTAAGAATCCTTAATTGCATCAAAGAATGAATGAATGAATGAAAAAGATCTTGTGACTCGACACATTTGCAGAGCAGCAAAATGGCACCGCATTAACATTACTTAACATGTAACATTTGCAACACACACCCGCTCTCGCTACGCCCACCTCAGCTGGCAGGGGATGCATTACAATTTCTTGGCACCTTGGGGAGATTTTTGACCTTAACATTTAGCAAAGAGGAGAGCAGTAAAAATGATAAATTAATTTAAAGGTGGGGGGGGGAGAAGAGGGGTGAAAACAGTTGGGAGTGATCAGGTATCGGAAAGAAAAGAAGGTGAAAAGTGAGCGGGGAGTTGGACATAAATTCTCAGATATTTAAAAAGCCTGCCATAAAGCAGATTCAAAGACAACACTTCCCCGCAGTTACTGATCCTTCTTGCCCCAAACACATTTCCCCTGCTTGGGGAGAGCCATAGCTCAGTGGGAGAGCATTTGCTCTGCATGCAGAAGTTCCCAGGAACTCTGGAATTGTAGCTCTTGAAGAGGAATAGGGGCTTAACAAACTACAGTTCCCAGAATTCTTTGGGGGAAGCCATGACTGTTTAACGCAGTGACGGCCAAACTTGGCCCTCCAGCTGTTTTGGGACTACAATTCCCATCATCCCTGACCGCTGGTCCTTTTAGCTAGGGATGATGGGAGTTGTAGTCCCAAAACAGCTGGAGGGCCAAGTTTGGCCATCACTGGTTTAACATATCACAGTGCTTTAAATGGATGGTGCAGAAGCAGCTCTTAGGACAACTAGCTGCTAACCTGGTCTGATTTGGACACTTCCCTGGCACAACTCTTACACCAGGGACAGTGTTCCTCAGTGGTCAGCTACACTGTCTCACTAGCATACTCTCCAACATCCTGCTTATGAAAATCGGAGCATGGCTGGGCCGCTCAACACTCTTTAAATGACCCTCCCTCAGCCAACACCTCTCTGCTTCCTCCTAAGTTACATCCACTCCCCTCAGTGACCCCACCTTCCCACTGCACAGCTCAACCTACGGGACTGCCTCTCCCGGTATGCCCCACGGAGGACCTTAAGATCCATAAATAGCAACACCCTAGTGGTCCCGGGCTCTGAGGAAGTCAGATTAGCCTCAACCAGAGCCAGGGCCTTTTCAACAGTGGCTCCGGCCTGGTGGAACGCTCTGTCTCATGAGACCAGGGCCCTACAGGATCTGATTTCTTTCCGCAGGGCCTGTAAGATGGAGTTGTTCAGCTTGGCTTTTGGCTTGGAATTAACTTGATCTCCTCCTCCTCTTTCTTTTTTCCTTTTTCCTTCTGTGACGGAACTCCTACTTGGGGACTTCCCTGCCTTTTTCTGGCCCACGGAGGACCAGTCTGGATAGTTAGCCTTGGTGAAGACTTGATGTTTTCACCCCCCAAAAAGTTTTAGAGTTTCTGCTGAAATGAGGCTGCATTTTAATGCTGTATTTTAATCTTGTTTTTTAAGTTGTCTTTCAATCAATTGTTTTATATATGGTGTTAGCCTGGTCTTGGCTGGGGAGGGCGGGGTATAAATAAAATTTATAATTATTATTATTATTAACAGAGGCCCACCCCTTCTTTTGGTCCCAAGCTCTGGCAGGAGCCAGCTGACTTGTGTCAGAGTGCAGTAGCCAAAATGGGACATCCTGGGAAAGAATCAGAAGCTGGAGTGTACAAAGATCTGTTGGAAATGTAAAGAAAAGGAAGGCACCTTCTATCATATGTGGTGGAAGTGCAAGGTAATAAAAGCATTCTGGGAAACCAGAGGCATATCCACTGGGCATAATAGGGAGTGATATCCAGCAGAATAAGAAAAGATTTTTTTTTCTATGCCACAGCAGTAGCTAGAATAGTTTTAGCCAGCAAATGGGAAAGTGAGGCTATACCCTCTAAAGAAGAATGGATTTGTAAGCTAAGTGAATACATAGAGTTGGCAAAACTAAGAGCAGCCTTAAGATCCCAAACCTATCAAAATTTAAAACTAGGATGCTGCTAGCCCAGAGGTGGAAAGAAGACAAGTCCCTATCAGAGAAGAATGGCAGATCAAATTGTTGGACTATGCTGAAATGGCAAAAATGACCGGAAAAACCAGGAAGACGAAAATTTTAATAAGGAACAGGGGAAATTTACAAGTTACCTTGGAGACCACTGTAAACAGTTAAAATTGCTAGCGGGATCGCAAAAACACTTATAATGTAACAAGAACTATGGATACAATGGAGATATTAAAAAATTTGGATTATTATCAAAGATGCAGTAGAAAAGGTTTGACAATGGGACCCACAGATGGGGAGGAGGGAATTCCAGAGATTCGTGGGAATCTTGTACTTATGGAAGGTGTTGTGGTATGATTGTAAATTTGAGTATGTAAAATCAAATAAACAAATGGGGGGGGGAGAATCAGAAGCTGGAGTTAATTTTGGAGTGCCCCATTTAAATTGGGACAGTTGAGCGGTATGCACTAGAAGGAGGAAGACCCAGGTTCAAATTCTTACTCAGAGACGCAAAGCACACTGGGTGACAGTGCCAGGCTCCCTGTCCTCCTCCTTTTCTCTCTCAGCCTACCCTACCCTAGGCTGAGGAAAGGTCATTGCTCAAGGGTAGCACATACACTTTGCAAACTGAAGGTCCCAGGTTCAATCCCTGGTGTATCCTCGTAGGGCCAGGAAATCTCGAAGAGTCCCTGCCAGTGTTGACAGTTCTGACCTGATGGGCCCATGGTGTGGATTCAGTATAAGGCAGATTCCTCTGTTCCTACCTCACTGGGGGTTGGTAAGATAAAACGGGAGAACCATAAGTATGTTGCCTTGAGAGAGAGAGAAAAAAGTTTAACAGTTTTCCTCCTAAATTTGTGGATGGCCAGGTTGCAGGGTTGGCTAGAGAGCCAGGTCAAATGGGTGATTCAAGAGGCAAATGCTGGCAGCGGTTTCACAAAAATTGCTTCACATTTAACAAATAATAGCATGTCAACAGATATTTGATACAAACAGTACCTGGTACTCTCAGAGCATCGCCTCCTCTAACATTCCACCATGTGAAAAATAGGTAAACTCTGGGTCGCCTCCTTTGTTAGTGCAACCCAACTCCCTGGAACCACTCTGGCATCTCAAGATGATCCAGAGAGTTTAAGAGACAGTGCTCCTCTAAAAGCTATGCAACTTTATAAAGCTGTTAGTGGCTTTTTCAAAATTTCTATAAACCAGGGCTGTCCAACCAGACGACCGCAATCGACAGGTGGATCCCCGGATGATCGTGGTTGATCATGGGATCTTTATCGCTTGCATTGTTTAGAATCATGGCTCCTCCCCCCTTGGTCATTCCCTGCATCTAGTGCAGGCTTCCTCAACCTCGGCCCTCCTGATGTTTTTGGCCTACAACTCCCATGATCCCTAGCTAGCAGGACCAGTGGTCAGGGATGCTGGGAATTGTAGTCTCAAAACATCTGGAGGGCCGAGGCTGAGGAAGCCTGGTCTAGTGTGAGTTCCTTTGTTGTCTGCTGCGTTCGTCTGTTAGCAGTTGTGTTGTTGGTGAGCCCCCAAATCTCAACAGCTTTGACCTGCTCCCCTAAAAAAAGCTCAGCAACTCCCCCACCAATGGGTAGATCACTGGCAGGTTTTTTTCCTGGGAGGAGACGTCTGTCTATGCTGTCTCTTGGGAGTTGGACGTCCCTGCTATAAACCAAGTGAAGCTGAAAGAGATGTGCAAGGGTACGCTCAAGTTGCTAAACCGAAATGCGATGGACACTTCTTGTTAAAGGGAAGGGTCAAAGTTGGCAGATGATTGGTGGAAATCTCCTACAGCGTAGATATGGTTACTTTAAATATGATTACATTTCTTGAAATGTACGAACTCCAGGCTTCTCTATCCAGCCGCCAAGACTCTCTTCAGAAGGTCAGCCCCAGTTTGCACCCTCAGGGTATCCTCCAAACTGACCTCACCCCTTGCCAACTTCATAATATTAGTGACTTTAACATAAACCAAGTTGAAAGAGTGATCCAGCAAGCTCTTCTCAGGTTCTTAACACCACCCGTCCTACTATACCATGGCGATGCTTAATCAATGCTCATCTTTTTTTAGTAAAGATCTCCACTCCACTTTTAGAGCTTGTGTTTCTACATTAAGCTGCATTTTCTTGTTGTTAAAAAACCCACCTCTCAAAATACATATTTAAATGTGCATTTTGATACACCTAAAGTACTAGGAATTGCATTGCAATATTCAGAGATGTATAAGGGACGCGGGTGATGCTGTGGGTTAAACCACAGAGCCTAGGACTTGCCGATCATAAGGTCGGCGGTTTGAATCCCCGCGACGGGGTGAGCTCCCGTTGCTCGGTCCCTGCTCCTGCCAACCTAGCAGTTCGAAAGCACGTCAAAGTGCAAGTAGATAAATAGGTACCGCTCTGGTGGGAAGGTAAACAGCATTTCCGTGCGCTGCTCTGGTTTGCCAGAAGCGGCTTAGTCATGCTGGCTACATGACCGGAAGCTGTACGATGGCTCCCTCGGCCAATAAAGCGAGATGAACGCCGCAACCCCTGAGTTGGGTCACAATTGGACATAATGGTCAGGGGTCCCTTTACCTTTACTATACAGAGATGTGCAAAACTTGCTTGGCAGCGTAGATCCAATATGCACAGGAACACAGGGGTACCCACTGTGGTGCTCTCCAAATGTTGGAACTTTGTTGGACTTCACCCCCCATAAGCCCCAGTCAGCATTCAGGGATGGTGAACATCTGGAAGGTACTGTGCCTAAGAGGTGTATATCAAAACCTTTCCACTTAGGAATTTGCAAATATCCTTCCTAGTTTTTAGTCTAGGACTACTGCTACTATTTTGGACTATGTCTCACACCAATCTGGAAGGCACCAGGCTAAGAAAGACTGGCTTAGTTTCTCAACTTTAGCATCCCTGGTCACAGAAATGCAACTGAAATGAATTAAATCAGAATTGTCTATAATAAATGAATCCAAAATAATGTAAGAGTGGTAAAATTAATGCACCTCTCCAGACTGAATACACCTTCAAGGCAGTTTTAGGTTTCATAAGAAGCTCCGAGAAAAGAATGTGATTTCTGGTATTTTGCTCATCCTTAGCTCAACTCTCGTTTAAACAATTATTTGGCAAATAAATACCCTTTGTATACATATGTGAGGGGGAAAACCTGCTCTGGTATTCTAGTGTAACCTGAGAATCCCTAGCTCGTTTTCCAAGTGGAAGAGAAGGAAGTCCTGTATAATATATAAATAAATGCCACGCACACTAATTATTCTACCTATCAAAATAGGAATGATTCATTACATTTTGATGAATCCGGCTGCAACTTAGTGACCTACCTTAATCACGAAAAAGAGATCAATACGCTGCTGGCAGCTAGATTTTGTTATGTGCGTCTAATGGAAGTCAATGGCCAATAGGAAGAGGGTAAAAATCCCTACTGAGAGAGCAGTGCTGGGTGGGGTGGGAGAGAGGGAGGAAGGAAGGCACCCATCTTCACTCGGCTTAAAGGCTGTTTTACCTTGTGAGGCGGCGTAAGCTGCTTGAACAAGTAAAGCCTCCATGATGCAGCCAGCTCCATTGAAGAAAGTCAAGGCTTGCAAGGCGACTCCACGAATTCTGCCCGGCACAAACTTGTATGTAATGAAGGAACCTTTGAAGAAGAATGAAAAGAAATAGGTAGGGCGTGAATCTCTGGCTGGGGTGCAATGGTGCATTATCACAACTGCCTGCTGGGAGCAATATTTTATGTACAGTCATACCTCGGGTTACAGACGCTTCAGGTTGCGTTTTTTCAGGTTACGGACCGCCGAAACCCGGAAGTACCGGAACGGGTTACTTCCGGGTTTTGGCGGTCGCACATGCGTAGAAGCGCTAAATTGCACATTGCGCATGTGCAGAAGCGCCGAATCAAAACCCGCGTGTGTGCAGACGGGCTGCTGCAGGTTGCAAACGCTGTGGGTTGCGAATATGCATCCCACACGGATCACGTTCACAACCCAAGCGTCCACTGTATTGGATTTATATCCTGCCCTTCCTCTGGAAGGGGCCCAGGGCAGCAAACAAATCCCCAATTTCAAAACAAATATCCAATGCCCAAATATTGCTTAAGGTAAATTAAGCTCCATGTACTCAGGAGGGGACAGAGGCAAAACTGCAATGCAGGGATCGTTCTGAGTGGGGGCCCTTTGTTTGCTCTTGTCAGTCAGCTGGAGTCAGATGCAGGTCAGCCGAAAAAGGCAATTTAAGGCAACAACCATACACTCAGCAACAGTCTCAATAGGTCTCGTCCTGTGGAGCAGTTGCCAGGACTGGCGGTCCTTGCCTTCTTCCCCTTTTAAGGCTCCTCCTCTGCCAGATGTTTCCCAAGCAGTCTCAAACTGTGTCTGGGCATCTCCAATCTCTGTTCCATCCTACGCATCACTCTTCAAATCCCTGGAGACAAGGGGGGAGGGGAGCTTGTCTCAGTAGGAGAGGCAGGCTCCCCATACTCTTCAGCAGCCTCTTGTCTCCTCCACTGCTTCAGCCTCTGAGTCAAAACTGCTCCCTGTCACAGACTCTCCCTGCTCACTAAATCCTGTTGCCCCTTCAGAATCCAACAACTACTCCCATTCTTCTCCTTCTTACTTCTCCCTAGTGTCCCACCATCAATTCCTGGGCTCTGAGCCTTTCTTAGGGTTGCCATACGTCCAGAATTTCCCAGACATATGCAGGATTTGGCTGTTGGGAACTGCGTCCGGGAGTACATCCCTGAAATGTCTGGGGAAATCTGGACATAAATCCAGACATATGCCAACCCAGATTGGAAGTGGTTTTCTGGGGGAAAATAGCTCTAAAACCTTAAAAAATGTTTTTGCAGAAGCAGCTCAACAACTTTTCTGTCTGGATTTTCACATTCTGAAATATGGCAACCCTACCTTTGTCCTCTGGGGTTCCCCTTGGGGGTTCTGGTGCCTCCCACCACTTCTCGTGATCCAGCCAGTCCCTGACAGCTCTTAACTTGGCACCTGTCCCACCATTTGCCCTTAGAAAGATCAGGAATGAGGAGCCTGCAGCCCTTTGCATGCTGTTGGACTCCAGCTCCCATCAACCTCATTCAGCATGGCCAGTTGTCAGGGATAGAGAAGCTGTAGTCCAACTGCACCGGGAGAGCTACAGGTTCCCCTAATCCTGCGTTAAATCCGTAGCATTCAATAAGGGTGCCGCTGTGTGAGACTGACCCATAGGAAAAGCCTCCAGGTCAAGCCTTAAATTGACACTGAACTATTACACTCTACGTGGGTCTACCTCTGAAGATGACTCAGAAACTACAGCTAATCCAGAATGTGGCAGCTAGACTGGTGACTGGGAGTGGCTGCTGGGACCTTATCATACCACTCCTAAAGGATCTTCATTGACTCCTAGTATGTTTCTGAGCACAATTCAAAGTTTTGGTGCTGATCATTAAAGCCCTAAATGGCCTTGGCCCTGTATACCTGAAGGAGCATCTCTGCTCCCATCGTTCAGCCCTGACACTGAGATCCAGCTTTGAGGGCCTTCTGGCAGTTCCTTCACTGTGAGAAGTGAAGTTACAGGGAACCAGGCAGAGGGCCTTCTTGGTAGTGGCACCCACCCTGTAGAGCACCTTCCCATCAGATGTCAAGGAAATAAACATCTGACTTTTAGAAAGCGTCTGAAGGCAGCCCTGTATAGGGAAGCTTTTTAATGTTTGATGTCTTACTGCGTTTTAACTTGTTGGAAGCCACCCAGAGTGGCTGGGGTAACACAGTCAGATCATATAAATGACTACTACTACTACTAGAAGAAGAAGAAGAGTTTGGATTTGATATCCCGCTTTATCACTACCCTAAGAAGTCTCAAAGCGGCTAACATTTCTCCTTTTCCTTCCTCTCCCACAACAAACACTCTGTGAGGTGAGTGAGCCTGTGAGACTTCAGAGAAGTGTAACCAGCCCAAGGTCACCTAGCAGCTGCATGTGGAGGAGCGGGGAAGCGAACCCGGTTCACCAGATTACGAGTCCACTGCTCTTAACCACTACACCACACTGGCTCTCTACTACTACTCCAGGGAAGGACATCTTCTTGGCTGCTGAGCCCCATGGGGTGACATCTCTGAACTTGCTTTCCGCTCTGGCATGGGAGGTCCTGCCTTTCTCTAAATGGATGGAAAGTCCCACTGGGGGTAGTAAATGAAGGATTTTCTCATGACCGCAAAGAACACTTGTTCGGCGAGCGGCAACCACAAGAATGACAAATTAAACTCTTTCCATGCCAGTGATGAATGAGACTGCTCAGAGAGGCTGTGGAACAGCGCCAGGGGCGAAGATTGCGACGGAAGGTGCTTTGGCTGTCCCTGTTCAAACAGATGCCATCCTGCGCTGAAGCCGGTTGCTTTTTAGGCTAGGAAACGGAACAAAAGAGTCCCCTTACAGGTGGGAGTTGCCAGAGCTTCTGCCAAGCCGAGGAAGATGTATTGTGGGGCCAGATGGATGCACGGCATGGAGGAGACGAGGAGGACTTTGCCTGAAAGAGTCTGTTCCACCAAAGGGAAATGCTTCCTGTGTACCTCTAAAAACCCAGCAACCATCACAGAGAGGGTGGCAGATGCGTAACCTACAACTGGGTACAAAAAGGCACAAAGCAGGCACAGAATCATTTATAAAACCATACCTTGCTTTTGGAATTGCACCTGATATACTGGAAGACAATGAACACACTCCATTTGTACTCTGATAAATTTTAGAAACTCAGAACTGAATGTCTGCAATCCTAGATTTTCAGCCTCCAAAAGGAGGTCATTTCTCATTAAACAGGGCAACTCTAGTCACATGTCTACTTGCATGTAGGCCACCCATGGCTAGCAGGAGTGGGGCCTCACTCCTGGCTTTGTTCCCAAACATCACATCTCCACAGATAAACACCCTCTGACCTTCACCTGGCTACCTACCTACCTATCTATGACTTTTTTTCCACCTAGAACTCACCAGAACTGAGTTCTGGCACCACTTTGATGCATCACGGCACCTCTGTAGCATTGTGGAACGGTGGCACGGCACCTCCTCATATAGGGCTGCCTTTAGATGTCTTCTAAAGGTTGCACAGTTACATATTTCCTTGGCCCAGGGGTCACTTCCATAGCCTCCAACATTTCTCTGATGAAAATAGGGCCAGCGTAAGGAAAAGTGGGACATTCTAGGCTCAAATCAGAAACCAGGACGGCTTCTGTAAATTTGGGACTGTCCCTGGAAAATAGGGACACTTGGAGGGTCTGGAGTCTTAAGAATCATTGGTTTCATAGTAGATCCAGCCCCTGACCCTCTTTTGGGGGGCTTTTGCCTGACTGGAAGGTAGAGACAGAGGTGTGTGCAAGTATTTGTACACACCTACTTGCCTATTGTACACATCCATTGCCTCACCCACATTCTCCTCTGGCTCCACCCACCACAAGTATGGGGCTCCCCAATAAGGACTGTGGCCCTTAAAGGGAAAAAGGTTCCTGCAGTAAGATAACCCAGATAGGGTGGTAGGACCAGATTCCTTCCATCTGAGCCATGACAACTTGACAGAGCATCACATCTTCTCTCGAAGGTCCACAACCTGCCCAGGATTCTTCCACTTACATACCAAAGAAAGCATTCCAGGGTTAGCTTCTCTTCTTATGCCCATTAACTATAACCTCTCAGACATTCTTTTCTAAAAAGCTTTCGCAGTGCCACGCCAGATACCTTTTGAAATGTTTAACCTTTCAAACTTTTGCAGCATCATCAGACTTCAGAACTTCCAAGCTGCAACTTGGAGAACCACCATCACTGCTATCTGAACGTTCTTTCCTACGGTTCAGTGGAGAAACTGTTTTATTTCAAAATCCCAAGTAATTGCCACCTTCTGTTCCATGCGCTTCTACTTTGCACAAAGCTTTACAACAAACTTAATGAGGCTAATTCTAGTCAGATTAATACTTCCTGTCTTTTGGCACTGGCTGCACCACATGCAATTGGGGTCCTGAATTAAATACTAGGAGAACAGGAAACATCAATTCCTAAGTGTGCATGTCTGTTTTAAACTGCGAGGCAGGATGGGAAGAGCAGCTCAGTTGTTAAATTCATGCAGAAATGAGGAAATTCGCATCTCTTCCCTATGTTCACTGAATCTTAACACTGAGGTCTGAAGGGGCCAAAAGGAATCCCTGTGTTGGAAACCTCAATGAGGGCTTAGAGCCCTCGTATCTACGGGACCACCTCTCCTGGTATGCCCTGCAGAGGACCTTAAGGTCCATGAATAACCATAGTTTAGAGGTCCCGGGCCCTAAGGAAGGCAGACTATCCTCCACCAGGGCCAGGGCCTTCTCAGTGATGGCTCCGACCTGGTGGAATGCTCTGTCCCATGAGACAGGATTTCAGGATTTAATCTCCTTCTGTCAGGCCTGTAAGACAGAGCTATTCCGCCTGGCCTTTAATTTGAATTCAGCCTGATCTTTTATTTCTCTTCTCTTCCCTCCCCCTCCCCTTTTATGAAGATCACCCGCTCTGAGACCCCACATCTAATTCTCCCCTGGCCTCCTCTCTGGCCCAAGCAGGACCAATTCAGCCAGCTAGCCCTGGGGATTATCTAATTGATTTTTGATTTTTATTGTTATTCATGTTTTTATACTGTATTTTATGCTGCTTTTATAATTAAGTGTTTCAATGTGTTTTAAATTTGTTGTTAGCCACCCTGAGCCTGGTTTTTGAACTGGGAAGAGTGGGGTATAAATAAAAATTTATTATTATTATTATTATTGAGATAGGTCAGACAATGCAAGGATGCAAGTTCATGGTCCAAACCAGTGCTTGGAAGGCTCATCTTATTTCATAGGTATGGTTTTATTTCTTAAATTTCTGTCCCACGCTTCCTTCCAAAGGAGACCAGGGTGGCAAACACACAAATGATGTGGCATCTTAAAAACAGTTGCAGCACAGATGCAGACTGGTGAAGATCTCTACTTAAAAGCTTGTTGGAAGAGGAAGATCTTCACAGTAGGTGGTCGAAAAGTCAACAGAGATGGTGCCTATCTAATATTCAAGAGGAGAGAATTCCACTGTTAGCCCAATTCCTACATTGTGCACAGTGGACTTTCCGGCATTGCAGGAGGGTCTCACCTGCAGAATGCAGTGATCAGCTGCATATAAGGGGTGAGACGATCTTTCAGGTATGCAGGCTCCAGGCTGTCTAGGGATTTATACACCAGAATCAGCACCTTGATTCCAGCCTAAGGGCTCATCTACACATAGAAAGCAGGGGTCCTTGAGGTTTTCCACTTGTTCAGTGCTTTCCAGGCATGGGTCCATGCATCTTCCTGTTTGCCCTGCCACTTCCCTTACTCTTTACCGCTGGATCGGAGCAAATGTCAACCCATGGAAAAAAATGATTGATGTCCGCTCATCAGGGTTGCTCAGAGTGGCTGGGGCAGCACAGTCAAATGAGCAGGGTTGGATACAATTAATAAATTATTGCTGTTGTTATTGTTCCGAGTCAGCAGTAAAGAGAGGATTTTCCCTGGGAGAAAGCAGTGGGATGAGTAGAAGTGTGGACAATGTTTTCAGAAGTCGGAGTTAGATAAGTTCCTATTAAAATTCAAAGTGAATCTATCCCCAACTCCACCTGTAAGTCAGGTCAATGTTATCCTCAAATTGCAGACAGTGCTGGTGGAAGCTGAAACTGAGTCTTGGTCCCAAGGCCACCTTGTGATCATGCAGCAGGAGCAGGATTTGACCCTGGGACTTTGGTGCCTTTGCCACTACCCTATACTATGCATAGGTGTTTGATTGCATCTGTATTGGAGACATTTTCCCCACCTCTAGTTCACCAGACCATTGCTTGGATTGAAGTTTGACGGATTATCTCTTTCCCCTCCATACTTCTCCTTCATAACTCAACAGAATGGGATGAGGATTCTTTCCTGTAACAACCTTGGTCAACAGTGCAGTTGAAGACCAGGAAGCAGGCCACAAATAGAATCCTATTCTCACTCCCAAAACACACAGCTGCGCCTAAATATTCAGAAGGTTCCAAATTGGAGCAAATATATTCGGTGCTTTAGGCAAGGTCTAAATGTGAAACTTGCATGCAAAGGACTGTCATGACCTTTGGAGTAGGATCAAATGTCTTTCAGTGGATGACATGGTAGTGCTGGGAAGGCAGTACAAGCATATTATTTTGAGAACACCCCCCCCCAACATCCATAGTTTCCAATCCAATCCATTTGCCGCCTGGTGGAGCAGTCGGCTGCGAGAAGAAGAGCTAAATGAATGGGTTGGTGAATCATCGAATTCATAGAATCACAAAGTCATCTAGTCCAACCCTCTGCAAAGCCACTTCTGACCTTGGGAGGAGGTGGTGTTGCGGGCTTCATGCCCCCAACACTCGCGCGGAGGCTGGCTCCCAGCCCCGCACGAACAGGGGATCCTCTGCCGCATCATTTCCCTGGCCAGCCAATAGGCTGGCTCAGGGCGTGTGGCTTGCCACATTTAAGGCAAGCACGGCAGAGGAGTGTCCTCTTTGCTGCCAATCTTGGAGATCTCCTGGATCACCCGCTGTAGAATGCGTTGGGCAGAATTCCTGCTGGCAGTAAAAGCTAGAGCCGCCAAAGAAGGCCCACTGGATGCTTTAGTTATCCAATTGGGAGAAAATGATTTGGCTTATAGGAAGGGCGTGGACATAATGTGGAACATTTACAATGATTTTGATGAATTGAGGATTTCTTTTCCTAAGCTGGTCATAATTTGGTCATCACTATTGGAAAGGCACATTTGGAGGGATTGCAGATGCCCTATTGCTATAAACAAATCCAGAAAGATTCTTGCAAATGTCATAGACCAAATGGAGCAAACAGCACGCAGACCTAGTGGTGGGAGGAAAAAATCCTTAAATAAGAGACACGGGGGAATGATTAATGGACTTCAATGTCTGTACACTAATGCGCAAAGCATGGGAAATAAACAAGATGAGCTTGAGCTCTTGGTACAGCAAACTAAATATGACATAATAGGCATCACTGAAACCTGGTGGGATAAGTCCCACGATTGGAATGTAATAATGGAGGGATACAATCTATTTCAGAGAAACAGACCAGACAAGAAAGGAGGAGGAGTGGCGTTATATGTCAGGGATGTGTATACCTGTGAAGAGATCCAAGATTTAGAACCTCAAAGCCAAAGTGAGAGCATTTGGGTCAAAATTAAGGAGAGAAGAATAACAGTGACCTCATTGTGGGAGTTTACTATAGATCCCCAAGCCAAACGGAGGACATAGATGATGCCTTCCTGGAACAGATGGCCAAGCATGCAAAAGGAAGGGAGATAGTAGTAATTGGGGACTTCAATTACCCGGATATTTGTTGGATGTCAAACTCAGCCAAGAGCATAAGGTCAAACAGATTCCTCACTGGTCTTGCAGACAACTTCATTGTCCAGAAAGTGGGAGAAGCAACAAGAGGAACAGCCATTTTAGATCTGGTCCTAACCAATGTTGATGACCTGGTTAGTGGGGTAGAAGTGGAAGGATCATTAGGCGCGAGTGATCATGCTCTTCTGAAGTTTACTATACAGCGGAAAGGAGCAGCCAAGCATACTAGGACTCAATTTCTTGACTTTAAGAAAGCCGACTTCATAAAACTTAGGGAAGTGCTGGGTGAGATCCCATGGACAGTAATACTAAAAGGAAAGGGAGTTCATGATGGCTGGGAGTTTGTTAAGAGGGAGATACTAAAAGCACAACGTCAGGCAATACCAATGAGACGGAAACATGGAAGGTGCCTAAAGAAGCCAGGGTGGCTATCTAAAGAACTTTTAACTGAGTTAAGATTAAAAAAGGATGTGTACAAAAAATGGAAAAGGGGGGGAACCACCAAAGAGGAATTCAAACAAATAGCCAGCACGTGTAGACACAAAGTCAGAAAAGCTAAAGCACAGAATGAACTCAGGCTTGCTAGAGAGGTTAAAAGCAACAAAAAGGCTTTTATGGGTATGTTCGTAGCAAAAGGAAGAACAAAGAAACAGTGGGGTCACTCAGAGGAGAAGATGGTGAAATGCAAACAGGGGACACAGAAAGGGCTGAACTCCTCAATGCCTTCTTTGCCTCAGTCTTCGCCGATAAAGAAAACAATGCCCGACCTGAAGAATTTGGAGCAAATGATTCAGCAGAGGAAACACAGCCCAGAATAACTAAGGAGATAGTACAAGAATACTTGGCTAGTTTAGATGTATTCAAGTCTCCAGGGCCAGATGAACTGCATCCAAGAGTATTAAAAGAACTGGCAGATGTGATCTCAGAACCATTGGCAGTCATCTTTGAGAATTCCTGGAGAACAGGCGAAGTCCCGGCAGACTGGAGGAGGGCAAATGTTGTCCCTATTTTCAAAAGGGGAAAAGAGAGGACCCAAATAATTATCGCCCAGTCAGTCTGACATCAATACCAGGGAAGATTCTGGAGCAGATCATTAAGCAAACAGTCTGTGAGCACCTAGAAAGGAATGCTGTGATCACCAATAGTCAGCATGGATTTCTGAAAAACAAGTCATGTCAGACTAACCTGATCTCGTTTTTTGACAGAATTACAAGCCTGGTAGATGAAGGGAACGCAGTGGATGTAGCCTACCTTGATTTCAGCAAGGCATTTGACAAGGTGCCCCATGATATTCTTGTAAAGAAGCTGGTAAAATGCGGTCTTGACTATGCTACCACTCAGTGGATTTGTAACTGGCTGACTGACCGAACCCAAAGGGTGCTCATCAATGGTTCCTCTTCGTCCTGGAGAAGAGTGACTAGTGGGGTGCCACAGGGTTCTGTCTTGGGCCCGGTCTTATTCAACATCTTTATCAACGACTTGGATGATGGACTCAAGGGCATCCTGATCAAATTTGCAGATGACACCAAACTGGGAGGGGTGGCTAACATCCCAGAGGACAGGATCACACTTCAAAACGACCTTGACAGATTAGAGAACTGGGCCAAAACAAACAAGATGAATTTTAACAGGGAGAAATGTAAAGTATTGCACTTGGGCAAAAAAATGAGAGGCACAAATACAAGATGGGGGACACCTGGCTTGAGAGCAGTACATGTGAAAAGGATCTAGGAGTCTTGGTTGACCACAAACTTGACATGAGCCAACAGTGTGACGCGGCAGCTAAAAAGCCAATGCAATTCTGGGCCTCATCAATAGGAGTATAGCATCTAGATCAAGGGAAGTAATAGTGCCACTGTATTCTGCTCTGGTCAGACCTCACCTGGAGTACTGTGTCCAGTTCTGGGCACCACAGTTCAAGAAGGACACTGACAAACTGGAATGTGTCCAGAGGAGGGCAACCAAAATGGTCAAAGGCCTGGAAACGATGCCTTATGAGGAACGGCTAAGGAAGCTGGGCATGTTTAGCCTGGAGAAGAGGAGGTTAAGGGGTGATATGATAGCCATGTTCAAATATATAAAAGGATGTCACATAGAGGAGGGAGAAAGGTTGTTTTCTGCTGCTCCAGAGAAGCGGACACGGAGCAATGGATCCAAACTACAAGAAAGAAGATTCCACCTAAACATTAGGAAGAACTTCCTGACAGTAAGAGCTGTTCGACAGTGGAATTTGCTGCCAAGGAGTGTGGTGGAGTCTCCTTCTTTGGAGGTCTTTAAGCAGAGGCTTGACAACCATATGTCAGGAGTGCTCTGATGGTGTTTCCTGCTTGGCAGGGGGTTGGACTCGATGGCCCTTGTGGTCTCTTCCAACTCTATGATTCTATGATTCTATGATTCTATGATTCTATGATTCTATGATTCTATGATTGGAACGCTCGGTGGCTTGTAGAGTGGCAGAGCTGGGGGGACGAGTCACTGACCATCCCAACATTCAATACAGCAAGGTGGCCCTCTACCGCGAGGATGGCGTACATCTTTCCAATGAGGGAAATGATGTTTGGCTGGCTGACATATCTGCTGGGATTAGGGTTTGGTTGCAGGTCTGAGGGTATTGGCGGCGAGCTTCGCTCGAGTGGCGGTTAGGCATTGGTAGGGGTATTGTTATGTAGATGAATGGGGGGGGGAGGAGCGCCATCACCTCCCCCGGATAATGAAGGGTAGTCCAGTAAAGGACTCCAGGGGGCGTGGCCACGTCCGAAGCCTATGGAGGCCAGGTGACCCCTGCTGGTGTTAACCCTTCCCGGCCTTCAGGCTGGCGGACTGAAGCCGGATAGTCGTTAGGACCAATGCCTAAGGCCAATACCACTCATCACCTGTAACCAATAAAGTTGTGGCCAATTTTAGCCCATTAACCTTAATTATGTTGTCTTGTGTCTTTAGTTTTGCTGGGGGGAGGCGGGAACTCGCCACACAATGCAGGAATCGCAGCCAAAGAATCCCAGACAGATGGCGACCCAACCTCTGTTTACAAACGTTCCATGAAGGAGAGTCCACCATCTTCATAGGGAGCCCATTTCACTATTGGGCAGCTCTTGTCAGAAATGATGGGGAGGTATGGAGTGGCAATCACATCCTCTCCCATTTCGTCTACACTACGCTTGAATGGCATTATTGACTGTTGCCCATTGGGACTGATAGGATGGAAGATAGAGTTGCCAACGTAGTCTATGAAGGTCTGACCTCTGGCGCCAATTCTGCTTCCCTGAAAGGTGTTAATAGATCCCTTTTCAGATGATGTTCCCCCCACCCCCGTACTTCTTCATTCAGGGCAAGGTGGTGTTTAACGAAGCTGGTGGCAAAACACTGGGCTTAGATGCGGAAAACCCATATTTAGTTTTATTTATTTACAGTACTGATATTGGCAGCCCAGCAACAAAATTCTCCATGTAGCTCACAGAAAATGTCAGATCTCTGCTCAGCTGTGAGTTTGCTGGATGGCTTGGGGCATACCATTATCTCTCAGCCTAGCCTACCTTGCAAGGATTGTTGTGAAGGTACAAGGTGTTTAAGATCTCTTTGGGAGGAAAGGAAAACTGCAAAATGCAATGAACAAAATAATTGTATTCCCAGCGTAAAACCACACATTGCTCAGGTACTGAAGATGTGCTTCATAATGAAGGCACCACCTTACAGATATACTGTCAAGGAAAGGTAAGAATCAATGAAGCCACGATCAATTATACCCAAGCGTTTTAGTTAACAGATCCTCTGCATTACCTCAAAACAATTCATTAAATTTACAAATACTGTTTGGCTGCCAAGAAACACAAAAACCAATAGCTCTTGCACATGAAAATTAGCGTATATTAGTACTCACCAATACAGACTGCAGAGAATCGTCCCCTTGTTTCAGGACTAAAGAGACAAGTGTTGAGACACTCCAGCACAGGAACCAGAATTAAGAATGGCAGGATGCTTATCACATTCATGGCTGCTACTGGCAAGAGAAACCCATTCAGATTCAAATTTGAATTCATTGCCTGCAGATAATATCCTGACGGTATCTACGTCAAAAGGGGGAAAGACCATAACATTTGCTTGTTGGCATAATCGGCTTCTGTTTATAGGGGGAACAGTTCTCCCTGTTTTGTCCATGCCCATTTTAAAGGTGAATGCTTTATTCTAGGTCGATATAGGAGAAATGAGAAGGCTATGGTTGAAGCAGGCACAATTTATTTACTTTTTTGTAAGGATTGCCAAAGCAAGGGGCTGTCTCCTCCTTCCACGAAAGTGAATTCTATAAATTCAGATTATGCATTGTGTGAAGAACATCCTATTCTCAGTTCTGAAGTCAGTGCCAGGCTGCCTCAGTGTAGGACCCCAAATTCTACAATTAGGGATGGAGGATCCTTTCTCTATCACCAGCCATAATCCTACAAACCAAAAATCATCTCAGTATCTGCTTTTGTTTCTCTGTACTAAAAAGTTGCAAGCATTTTCGCCTTTTTTCACCAGGAAGATGCCCTCCAACTTCTTGATTATTCCATTCCCTCTTTTTTTCTATAGCCATATTTCCCTGCAGGGGGCACTAAACAGTTCAGTTCCAAGATACTTCCATGTACTTCAGAATCTGCTGCTGCATAGTCCCAGCCGCATCTACAAAGAGCCTGCAAGGATAGTTCCTGGTAGAACCACAGCCATTGCCCGCTTTCAAAACTACAAGGCTGTGAGTGGTCACCTTTCAAATTTACGAGATCATGAGCGAAACAGTAGTTTTAGATTGAATCAGACACAGCGTTGAAGTATGACAGGATCTTGTGGTACAATGACCTATAGTGGCCGTTATGCCCTTCAACTGCCCTGGAAAAACAGAGAAATCTAGTTTTTCCCCATAAGAGCATAGCTGCCATTTGGGGTATCACAATACCATGTCATGATCTCACGCCAGAAAAAATGCTTTTTCCAGGCCGCAATCCCATGTGGCACCTCAAAACACATGTTTTTGGGTGCCATGCCTGGAAAAAAAAGTTTTTCCGGGGTTGCAATCTCACGTGGGTCATGTGACTCACACAGAAGTGAGGCCCTGGAAGATGGCATTCCCATTTTTTGTTGTGGAGTGTTGGAGGGTATGCATTATATTATAAATCTGCCTGCTCTGGGATTGCAATTCAAAAAATGGATTTAGAGCTACAAGGAGTCACACCCTTACCTGTACAACACATATCCTATAGAGGATTTGGAAGGCAATGAAAGGGAAGAGACGGACAAGCAATTTTGTGCTTTCCACTTGAGTTTCACTGTACTGGCCGCCGTAGTTCTCCTTGGCATGGTCTAGCCAGTTTGTGACATCCCCACTGAAGTAGCGGCATTTTACACAGCATACTCTCAGTGCATTAGCAACGACGCCACAGACTGTCAACAGGCCATTACCTATGGAAAAGTGAGAGAAGGCAATGAACCACAACAGAGTCATTGAATCATCAAACTGTAGAGTTGGAAGCCCAACCCCCTGGGAAAATTATCACAACATTTTCTGAGATTGCAACTCTGGGAAGGAGCTGAGGTCTCCAGACAACACCAAGGACCCCTAACAAACCCTTGCAAAGAGCTGTACGAATAATGGCGCTATGGTCTAAACCACTGAGTCTCTTGAGCTTGCCGATTGGAAGGTTGGCGGTTCGAATCTGTGTGATGGGTTGAGCTCCCATTGCTCTGCCCCAGCTTCTGCCAACCTAGCAGTTTGAAAGCACACCAGTGCGAGTAGATAAATAGGTACCACTGTGGCGGGAAGGTAAATGGCGTTTCTGTGCGCTCTGGTTTCCGTCACAGTGTCCCATTGCACCAGAAGTGGTTTAGTCATGCTGGCCACACGACCCAAAAAGCTGTCTGTGGACAAACGCTGGCTCCCTTGGCCTGAAAGCAAGATGAGCACTGCAACCCCATAGTTGCTTTTGACTGAACTTAACCGTCCAGGGGTCCTTTACCTTTACAGCTCCATATATAAATTGGAGTTGGCTCTGGAGTAGCGAGTATATATGTGTAATACATACCTACCCAAATATACACACAGTTGTTGGACTTTGGTGGCTACATTACAGGATAAGATTAGAATGTTTTGCAAGAGATAGTCCTCTCTTCTCGCTCTTTCTCCTGAAAAATCTTGGCTCCAGTATTCTATTCCTCTGACCTTGAACTAATCTATATTACTTAATTACGGTTCTTAAAAAGTCTACATGGCTCTCTAGATGATTCCCCTCCCCTTCTCCCAATCTTTGGTCAACTGCCAATTGTCAAAATTACAGCTAGGTGAAGAAATGCAAATGAAATCCCTGCTTGACATATGCATGGCCCACATTTGGAAAGGGAGAGAAAAGCTACCTTAAAATAAAATGCAATCATTTCTTTAAGGTCACCTATGGACTTGAATTATTGACTTGGGGGAAGAATTCCAGACGACTCATCTGATTGGAAGAAGCCAAAATAAGGTTATAAACTCAGCTATTAAGAAGAGGGGGGAAAGGAGCTAACCAGGCAGCACTCAAGCTGCCTCCTAAAAGGGAAACAGTGAAGCAGGAGAAGAATGCCAGCAACAAAAAAAGTGCAAACCAAACTGCAGCAAAAACGAAGACTAGCGCAATTCTAGAGGACGTAGTGCTGAATGCAAACCTAGGAAACTTAAATCCCAGTGCCGCTACAACTCCGCAGGCTGATCTTAAACAACTCATTTTTAAAGATGAACTACACTATGACCATTTGGGTATCAAGGCCCCGTGACCACCCTGTTCCCTAAGGTGCAAATAACTAGACAACACACGGCATATTGGTTTGGGATCAAATAAGGCCACAACTTTATTGGCTACAGATGTGAGGTTTGGCCATAGGCATTGTGGTAAACAACTGCACATGTCATTCCCACCCATCCAATGGGAGTGTTTCTGAAGACAGCCATACTTGCCTATGAAAGTTGCACCGAAATTTGTTCCCCTCTTTCATAATTTTTCCAATGCAATTTCTGTTCTCATAAGTTTATGAAGAATGGTTGAAATAAAATGTGCAAGGTTTATTTTAATTTTAATTTTTTTGGCACAGTGCTGTTTGTTTGCTACAATAAACCTCCAATATCTCTTTCCTATATGCCCCATTCTGGTTGGAAGAAACACAGGCACCTTTGTTAGCAGCAGAATCGAAACTGCTCATTTCATCTGCTATATATAACAAAATACCAGATTGAAGGTAACCAAGGGGGTGGGAAGAAACGAGTGGTGTTTTCTCAAGAAAGTCTTGTCCTGTTCTTAGTGGCCAAGATATACTCTATTTGCTGTCTTGAAAAATTAACAGAAATTAACAAGATTTATTTTTAAGCAAATATGGGGAAGAACGCCAAGACATTAGCATACTTGCCGGCAGTCAAAACAACACAATACACAGACTTAAGGGCCTGTTCTGCCATAGAAGTTCTTACTGCCTTCTCTGTCATCCCAGAATGCAAACAGCAAAGGCAGCCAAAAGGTAAAGGCAGATATAATGATATTAAATGGATTGGAAGCAGGCTGGTAATAAACCCGGTCAGTCCAGCACCACTTCCACTTAAGGCCGGCCCTACAATGAGGCAGACTGAGGCTGCCTCAGGTGGCAGATGCTGAGGTGCAGGGAAGGGACAGAAATACCCCTACCCTACTGCCCAGAAGTACAGTGGAAGATACTCTCCTTTCACCAGTATCAGAGTAAGGTTCAACTACAATTCAACTTGGCTTCTGTACATGCCTTATGGAAGGGTGCCATCTTGTCCTTCACCTCGGGCAGCAAAACATCTTGAGCCAGCCCTGCTTCCACTGATGACACCACCAGAGTGGCTGGTTGGAAGCCCAGCATGCATTGTCACACTGTGACTAGGTGGCCTGCAGCCCTACTTAGTCAATTGTCCATGTCCTCCCTCCATTGTTAGGTTTCTTTATCTTTGAACTGGACTTGGACCAGACTGTGTTATGAAATTCTACTCAATATTGAGCCAGAGCAGAACTCCAATGTATAGTTAGCAGAGTAAAAACTTAAACACATTGCAAGATTCTCCAAAAATAGACCAGAGGCAGTTAATATTTCATCCAGCAGAGCTTTACTGCTACTGAAGGCAAATGAGCTTAATGGTCACAAATCCAATACATTCAGGATTGGCACTGTCCATAAGAAATCCAGTTGCAGCAGACTTAACTTAAACCTACAATAACTTATAAAAAGTCTAAACATCAACACTAAGCATACTTTGTACAGAACACCACACCAGAAGGAAAAGAGATAGAAAGTGAAAGTGAAACTGAGGCTCCTTCTGGTTTTACTTTTATAGTCAGCAAGACCTTGACAGAAGAGATAACAGAACCAGTTTAAGCCAGCTGTACTCAGCTTCTCTGAAGGAATAACCCAAACATCATGAACCTTCTGCTTGTTTCTTTCACACAGAGAAGCTTCCAGAACCCTCTTGAATCAATTAGAATAGGAAAAATCTATACACACCAGATCAATACTTTCAGCACCAAGTAAATGTAAACTGACAGACTGCCCTTCAAACTCTGGACTGTAATGTAGATACCATCTTAAGCTAATGGCAATACTCAGGGCCTCCAGGACTTTCCCAGGTGGCCTTGATATGCCAGACTGCAATACGCACCCTGGCAATAATATACCACACTGGAATATATGCTTTTGGACACCCCTGAGTACAAATTAAATAGATTTCAACCTGCAATTTTTAGAACTACGAAGATTTTCTTTCTCTCCCGCACCCCAAATTTAACCACCACCACCAAGGATTCTTCACGTAATTTACTGAGTTACCTTTTGGGGGCTGGTAAATCATTTCACTGCGCGCCATATGGATGGTGATCAGCGCCATCAGGACAGACACAAAGGGGATAAGGAAGCCAAGGTTTTTGGCCACTGACTGCTGGATGTATGAAATGATGACCAAGACAATGGCAGAACTTAAATTTTCCAGCCAATAAAACCTACAGGAGAAAAGAAAAGAAATGTCCACAAGAGTCATTTTTGGAGGGGTGTGAAGAAGAACCACTATTCATCAGAAGATATCAGTTTGTTTTAAAATTACATTCTTCCTGGACTATAGTTTTGGGGAAAATCAGGTCCATTTTTGGTAATGTCCTGTGCCTTCTTTTCCATATTTAAAGGCAACAACTCCCAAGCTACACCAAAATACTCCCGTTAATCAACAAAGACCATCCTAGAAGATCAGATGGAATTTTGTTATTTCAAGATCTTAGAAGTGTACTCCATTTTTGTGTGTGCATGGGCATTGAGAAGTGCCTCTGTGTTCCCTTCCCTGGTTGGCTGTTTTCATGTATCTTCTCTGTTTATAACCAGGAAACTGAATGGTTTGGCCAAAGAGTCACAGAAGTGTTGAAGAAAACAATTCCATGTGCATTGAAGTCAAATATTTATTGGCATCACCAAATCACACAATAACCCCCCCCCAACTAATAGCATAATCTATTGCAGCTTCTAATTCACTGTCACATCCAATTTATTTTACAGTAATGATATGATAACACTAACTGCAACACCCGCTACCTATAAGATGATCCTACTAATTTAGAATTCATCTCAACACTTTAAAAACAGAGCCAACCGTCCCCTACTCTCTGACATTCTTCATCCGCCTTCATTGTTTGAAATCATGCAGGCGATATGGGATGCATATGCAATGAAAAAGGGAGAACCTACCAAAGAAATATATTTTTCAATATTTACAGATAGATAGATGATAGATAGATAGATTGATTTCTATGTATCTCGTGAATCTCTCAACAGAAACTCCTACAATTTGTGGAGGTTGTTTTCCCATCCAAACAGTCAGACACCCAACCACCAGAGTTTGCTATTAGAGGGAAAATATGCTGATCTGCTGCAATGTTTAGTCAATCAACCAGTTAAAAAGGTGCCCCAGTTTAAAAAATCAAGCACTGGTGCTTTTTTAAATAAGTGTTTAAATACAATAATTGCAAGTGACAATTGCCATCTGAAGAAGAGGCATCCCCTTTCCCCCACATAGAAGAGAATGCCTCTTAACATCTCTGACATAGCTACAAAGAAAGTAAGCTTTCCTTCCTCCAAAACAATCTTTTTGTTCCTATGGAAGTTCATATTGCTTTCGTCCAATAATCAGTCAATTAAAATTCATATAATTAATCAACTAAGATTTCTTTAATCATACTGACAGCCATAATTCTGAAGCTTCCCTCCCCCACTCAGTAATTTGAGATCAAGAGTTATTTAAGGACTCCAAAAGGTCAGGGCAGAACCTTTACAAGTTGGAAGCCCAGAGAGACCATAAGAATCCCCAGGTTGGCTTTAACTTTGAGCAAAATCATCTTTCATCTTGTTAGAGCAAAGAATGACAGCGGATGAGTCAGAGCAGAGCAGAACATCCGCACAGAGAGCCTGGCGGAATACAGACAGCAGGCAGCCAAAGGGGGAGAAAACAATGACAGACCCAATTTGAGTAAATTTAACACTACCGAGAACCCTTTGGCGGCTGTCAGGGTGGTATCAAAATGTCGGGAGCACCAGGAAACGGAGTTTCCCCAAGGTCACCATCGGAAGCTCTGAAAATGTCAACGCTGTTTATTTACTTAGGACCATTTCGGCTCCCATTAAACACACGTACGCAGAGGCACACATTTGTATTGAAAATCAGCCATGTGAGCTTATCTCGTTTGGCTTGAAGATGGCTCAGGTTTGCCACAAGGAACAAGGATGAGTAACAGTTCTGACTTCGCTCACAGAAATGAAGAGACTCTTGCATACTCAATTTAGAGCCATTGTGGTGCCATGGTTAGAGTGTTGGACTAGGATGTGGTGGGGGGTCGGGTTCAAATCCCCACTTGGCTGTGAAGTGCACTGGGTGGCCTTGGGCCAGTTACACCCTCTCAGCCTAATCTACCTCACAGGGTTGTTGTGGGAGTTAAATGAGATGGGTGGGAGTCATACAAGGCACTTTGGGACCCATGGAGAAAAAGGAGGGGATATAAACCCAATAAATAAATCCATTGTCATCAGGGGTAATTTAAGACGGAATAAGACCATGGCCACTGGTCCCATCACCTCCTGGCAAATAGAAGGGGAAGAAATGGAGGCAGTGAGAGATTTTACTTTCTTGGGCTCCATGATCACTGCAGATGGTGACAGCAGTCATGAAATTAAAAGACGCCTGCTTCTTGGGAGCAAAGCGAAGACAAACCTAGACAGCATCTTAAAAAGCAGAGACATCACCTTGCCGACAAAGGTCCGTATAGTTAAAGCTATGGTTTTCCCAGTAGTGATGTATGGAAGTGAGAGCTGGACCATAAAGAAGGCTGATCGCCAAAGAATTGATGCTTTTGAATTATGGTGCTGGAGGAGACTCTTGAGAGTACCACGGACTGCAAGAAGATCAAACACATCCATTCTTAAGGAAATTAGCCCTGAGTGCTCACTGGAAGGACAGATCGTGAAGCTGAGGCTCCAATACTTTGGCCACCTCATGAGAAGAGAAGACTCCCTGGAAAAGACCCTGATGTTGGGAAAGATGGAGGGCACAAGGAGAAGGGGATGACAGAGGACAAGATGGTTGGACAGTGTTTTTGAAGCTACCAGCATGAGTTTGACCAAACTGCGGTAGGCAGTGGAAGACAGGAGTGCCTGGCGTGCTCTGGTCCATGGGGTCATGAAGAGTCGGACACGACTAAATGACTAAACAACAACAAGACATTACACCTACCCACACATAATGTAAAAAAAGAGGCACCCTCTTTTCTGTACATCTTCCCCTCTCCACAAATGTGAAATAATAGAAGGCATGTTCTGATCATGCCTCCCACTTGCCCGGATGTGGGTGGGTGGTGGTCAATGGCAGCTTATGCAGAATAGACCGACTGAAATTAATGAACACGACTCAGGGTGCGTCCCCCCTCAGAGTGCAGAGAAGTTGTTTTTCCGGTGCATTTCACAGCTCTTCCGACACCTAGCTGTTCACACCAACCTGGCTTCATTCGTTTCTGTTTACCCCAGGGGGCACACCACACCTTGACTAGAGATTTACTAGGAATGGCTTACGGACTCCAACTGTCAGGAAACTGGTTTGAGGAACAATGCAGCAAACAACAGTATTCTGCAACAAAGCACAGGATACGTATGCATTTTGGAAACGTGAGTACACAGTAGGCAGGGGTGTGAACACAGTCTAAGTCATGTCCATTCATTTCAATGGACTACTCTGAGAAAAAATGTAGTTTAACATCACCCTGCGAGTGTAGAAACCTATTAGTTTTGATTGGATGAAATGTAACCAACTGTGCAAAAACTGAGTCACATCCCTGTCCACTCTTGCCTCTGGCCCTCTCCATCACTGGAACACGGCCCCCATAAAGTTCTCTACGAGGGAATGTGGCCCTTGGGATGAAAAATCTCTTCACACACACCCAGTTCAAAACAAACTGTTCTGGTGGCCATCACCAGAACTTGGGACAATGAATTACATACGTTAAAATTATGGAAAAATGGAAAACCTTACGGGACTTGTGACTCTCGTTGTGGTATAAAATATACGGAGTTCAGTGCTAGCTGAAAAAGCAACTCATAAATTACATGTTGCCGTAGGCTTGGAGGATCCTGAAAAATTCCATGCTGTTTGGTGAGATTTTATCATAGATGCAACCAATACATAGGATTCCCTCTCCGCTGCACAACGTGAAATTTGGTTTTCCTAATGGTCGAAAGTACTTTAGTTACCTGATTCAAATCTCGTCCAATTGCACTTGTACTTCCATGCTTAAATGAAAAAACAAATGGTTCTGAGGGTACTTTCTTTCATCCATCCAATTTGTCGTGATGGGTGGTATTCAACATAAATCCTGCTCAGAGCAAACCCACTGAAGCTGATGGGCATGACTAACTTAGAGTCATTAATTCCAAGGGGCCTACTCTAAGCAGGACTTACTTGAATGCCACCCTATGGGTGAGATCGACCCAACCGGTTCTGTCAGCAGAAGCCCTGCAAGAGGGTGTTCCTCCCTCTCCTTCACTCATGTGCCTACTTGCACTCCCCAAAATTGGGTAAAGGGGTCGGGGGAATTCCCAGGACAGCATGCAGGGGGAAGCAAAGGGGGTATTGTTCTGTCTAGAATGATTGCACAGAAAGAATGACTGGAACAGAAAGAATGAATTCCACCCTAAATCAATATCAATACCCCATGTTACAGGTGAGAGAAGGCAGCATAGGGCAGAGGACTACTGCCTTCAATAACAGCCCTGTGTTTTTCAGAATACAGTGGTACCTTGGGTTACAGATGCTTCAGGTTACAGACTCCGCTAACCCAGAAATAGTACCTCGGGTTAAAAACTTTGCTTCAGGATGAGAACAGAAATCGCGCAGTGGCGGCAGGAAGCCCCATTAGCTAAAGTGGTACCTCAGGTTAAGAACAGTTTCAGGTTAAGAACGGACCTCCAGAACGAATTAAGTTCTTAACCCAAGGTACCACTATATCTAGTTTCACCTTTACTGTTTTGTTTTTTAAATACTCTCTATTAATTTCCCCCATGGTTTAGAAAACAATAAAACATAATCGGGTGAATCACATTTTGATGGAAAGTAAATATAAATAATATAGATAACTAATGTATCATAGTTCAAACAAGGAGTACAAACATAGGACACGAGCTAAAAAGAAGGGAAAACGGGGAGGCATTAAAAATAATAATCAACAGAACTCTACAAAGATCATACAATTTTCACGCATTCCATATATCTGCTGAGACTGCTGTCAAGGAGTGTGGCAGCTGCGTAGTTTCTTACTACTGAACAGGGAGAAGAACAAGGAGTACTGTATTGTACCAATTACTTATAATGCTGCTTAGTTCTTTCATTGCGTCTTTAAGATTGCTAGCCTGAGAGCAGGGACTGACTTGTTTTTATTGGCCATTCAAAAGCCAGAGCAGGAGACTTCTCAGTTGAAGGGTGGGTTAGAAACTTTTTCAACAATATATAAGCATGACATTGCTAAGCAAGTCTTCCAACAGCTAAAAATTAACCTGAAGACAATGATATAGGATTCAAAGCCCAAGGTTTGCTCGGAGTGGTTGGAATCCTTGATGCAGCAACAATGACTCAACTCTTTTTTTAAAAGGGGGGTGGGAAACACAGCCAGAAGCATGCTTTCCTTTTCAGAGAGGGAGAAGGGAGAAACACCCCCCTTTAAGATAATGCTTAGCACCTTCAGTTTCCATAAGCATTAATTTAGCAATGTGCTTGACAATTCAAAAGATTGATTTTTTTATTTTGCTATTACAGTTTTCGCTTTTCAGCTAAACTGAGGTGTGTCATTTGAGACAGCCATTACACATGCTCAGACAATGACAACTTCATGAACAGGTGTTTGAAGGGGGTTGCAGGTGCGGGGAAACCAAAAAGGTAATGCACATCAGGTGAAGACATCCCTGGCTCCACCCAGCAAATGCAATGTGAAAGGTGGCAGACAAACACAATCGCACTGCGTTTTAAGCTTCTAAAGTGCAGATTGCCTATGGGTGCATTCAGACGTGGAGAATATTGCATAGTTTTTTTTCTGCTTATACAGTGGTACCTCAGGTTACAGATGCTTCAGGTTACAGACACTTCAGGTTACAGACTCCGCTAACCCAGAAATAGTACCTCGGGTTAAGAACTTTGCTTCAGGATGAGAACAGAAATCGTGCTCTGGCGGCGTGGCGGCAGTGGGAGGCCCCATTAGCTAAAGTGGTACCTCAGGTTAAGAACAGTTTCAGGTTAAGAACGGACCTCCAGAACGAATTAAGTTCTTAACCCAAGGTACCACTGTAAGGCTTGTGCTTCTGTCCTGTTTTCTAACGTTGCTTTCACATTGCAGCACATTTTGTGCTATGGAACTGTGGGGTTTTGACTGATATACAGGCAATGACCAATTGACATGCGCCCAATTGACGCATGACCGCGCACCTGTGCATCGCATCAAACCCAGAAGTGACTTAAAAAATGGCAAAAACAGCCCCAAAAGAGTCCAGAAAGGGCAAAAAAGCATGAAAACAGCACCTAGTAATTGCACGAGCCTTTGCAAGTGCAATCTCAGGATCCCTTGCACCGACCATTGAGGCCTGTGGAGAGTTGGAGTTTGAGCAAGGAGATTTGGAGGGAGCGATTATGATAGAGTTTGGTGTTTGGGAAGTGCTGCTGGTTTTTAAAAGGGGTTTCCAAGGTTTCCAGAGGTTTAGAGTGTTTCAGGCTTTTCCAATGGTGTTTTAAATATAGTGGTACCTCGGGTAAAGTACTTAATTCGTTCCAGAGGTCTGTTCTTAACGTGAAGCACCACTTTAGCTAATGGAGCTTCCCGCTGCCGCCGTGCGGTTTCTGTTCTAATCCTGAGGTAAAGTTCTTAACCCGAGGTACTATTTCTGGGTTAGCGGAGTCTGTAACCTGAAGCGTCTGTAACCTGAAGCATATGTAACCTGAGGTACCACTGTATATGAAATTTCACATAAATGCACGGTGCCTCGGAACGTAACCCCTGTGTAAATGGGGAGTTTCCTATACCAGCATGTTGTGCTCCATTTCAATTGCATCAGTGAGCACGGTGTGGCACAACAGCAAATATCATTGGATAATGCTACTACTACCCCATGAAAACAGAAGGAAAGAACTGCATGCCAATCTACCACCCGAAATTTCACCACTTTACCCCTGCAGTTTTCTGGGTTAAGAGAGCAGCCAATGGATTTTTCTGGAATCAGGTAACACAGAAATGAGCTCTAAAGGCGCATTTACACCCCCATAGTTTTCTGAAAGTGGCTTTTGGCTCAAACACAATGCAGAAATTAACAGTTAGAGAGGCGTTGGGAAAATGGAACAAACTGCGGTGTGGATGCTCATCGCCTCCTTTCTCCTTGACTTGGTGATCGTAAAGGCAGACAACACTCTGGATGCAGAATTGATGGTCAACGTAAAGGCCTGCATTGCCAGTGAATTATCTTCTCAAAGCATATAGCTAAATTAGACACATCCTTATGACCGGCTATCAAGTAAAAAGAAGGCCTGAGCTATAATTACGTGCACTTACAATGAAGAGGCCAAAGACTAAACTTCATTATGCTAGATTTAAGATCGGAGCCATGTGTCCTTTCTTCAAACCACACAGTGCCGGAGAAATTAGCTTTTTATTACCTGCCTTCCTTTGCCCAGCAAAAGCCCCAAGCGCCGCCCCACTCGGTTTACCCCAAGGGTACATTTTATATGCATTAATCTTTCCCTTTGTAATCAACACCAGAAAGTGTCACTTTGATTAAACAAAAAAGAAAAAAGGAGAGAGAAAAAGGCTCCTCTGAATTACTAGGACTGCAGTACAATAAATTCTCTTGAGCTATCGCTCAGATTGGTCTTCAGACTTAATTCTCCAGAGTCTTATTTAATCAAAATGATGTTGCTAATTAAGGATTAAAACCTGGAATTTTATTTATTTATTTCAAAAGGGAAGATTTTTTTTTTTTTGCTTCCTTATTCTCTCCTTCGGGTAGGTCAAGGAGAAGGAATTTCCTCAGAGGAACCAAACCATCTTGCTACCTTCTGCAAAGCTGCAATATTTAAGAATGTTTGGATTTAATCCAGTGACGGAGATATCAATATAATTGGGGAGGAGGGGGTGTTTATGGAAGCACTGAAAATATACTTAGAAAACTGTCCGACAATGGAAGAAAGCCAATATATTTCTACTGATAATTAAATTATCAATATTAAAAAGTTCAGTGGTATTAGTGAATAGAGATAAGCAATTTTCATTACCCTATAGATATCAATTGACTTGCCAATGCCAGGACACCTGTGTGGCCAACAACTGTTTTGTGAATGGCCATAGTTCAATCATGCAATTATCAGTATATGTACTTTTCTGAATTTTATTTCGCTCTGACTCCACTGCTTACAGTTCCTTCCTCCCAGCCGTGTGTGTATGTGTTGATGAACTCAGCTGTGAAACTGCTGTGAAACTTATGTTAGGATAAATTTGTTACAAGAAAACAAAAGAGGGGGTCCCCAAATGAAAATAACAGAAAGCCCAAGTCTCGGGGACCCAGTTACAAAAATAATATGCTTTGTAATTGGGTTCCTGTGACTTGGTCTCTTTGTTATAATAAATTTGTGAGCCTTCGTGGTGCCACAAGGCTCTCTGCTGTTGTTTTTAAAAAATGGGATGCAGACGGTAACGCCTTTGGGAAAGTATTTTAATCAGAGGTAACTAAAATGTATGTGTTTCATATCAATGCAGATGAGAGCCATGCAGAGAAATAGGCATTTATTATGACCTCTGCAGGAAATCTATATGGAGCTATTCAAAGTTTGTAAGTCATTGCGGCTAGGCTCCCTGTACTATTTATTAACCCAGAAAGAGGTTGGCTGGTGTTCGACAATGCGATCATTCATATCTATGAAATTATTTCTTACATTTATGTCCCAGCTTTTCTCTAAGGAGCTGAAGATGATGTATGTGGTTTTCCAACTCCCATCTCACTTTACCCTCACAACAGCCCTGTGAGGTAGGTTAGATGGGAAGATATGACTGAGCTTAATGGCTGAGAGGAAGATTTGAAACTACTCTTAGTCCAGCTCTTAGTAAAAAGAAAGGTGAAGGTAAAGGACCCCCAGACGGTTAAGTCCAGTCAAAGGCGACTATGGGGTTGCGGCACCCATCTCGCTTTCAGGCTGAAAGAACCGGCGTTTGTCCACAGACAGCTTTCTGGGTCATGTGGCCAGCATGATTAAACTGCTACTGGTGCAACGGGACACCGTGATGGAAACCAGAGCACACAGAAACACTGTTTACCTTCCTGCCGCAGTGGTAACTATCTATCTACTTGCACTGGTGTGCTTTCAAACTGCTAGGTTGGCAGGAGCTGGGACAGAGCAACAGGAGCTCACCCCATTGCCGGGATTCAAACTGCCGACCTTCTGATTGGCAAGCCCAAGAGGCTCAGCGGTTTAGACCACAGTGCCACCCGCATCCCTATCCTTGCTTAACACAACAATGGTAGCCTTGCCTCATGCACGCCTTCCCAGAGCTGCACCAGAACAAAGGTGGTTCTTCCTTCCCTTGGGGCAGGTCTATAGCTCAGTGGAAGAACATCTGCCTTGCAAGCAGAAGGTCCCAATTTCAATCCCTGGCATCTCCAGGTAGGGTTAGGAGACCACAGCGCCACCCCTGTCCTCACTCTAACCACTTACAACCATGTCAACTCTTCCACATCTTTCTATGCCAACACATCTCTGTTATGATCCCTTTTCAGTAACATCTGCTTGTTTAAATGATAATTAATTTGGCTTGCAAGAACTGTGGAATTATTAGCTGTTATGTTGCCATGTTCTCTGATGTTGCACTGGTAGAAGGCTGCTCTGAGAAAGTAGAGCGAGTTGCTTGTGGGGAAACTGTCCTCAATAAACACATGAGATGTAACCGGCTGTGTTCTTAGATAAATAAGATATGCTATTCATTGTATCAAATTGTAAATTTCAACAGAAGTAACTCATAAAGTTCAACAAACGAACAAAGCAGAAGACCCAGTGGATCAGATCATTCTTTAGTCAATTCATGCATAAGGTCCATCCATGTAATGGTGTCTATTCCACCTGTCTGTTCATGAAGTCCAAACAATTCACATGACAGGTTGTTACAGTTCCAGAAAATCCTTTCACAGAGTCTAGACAAGGATTTCCGGAATATTGGCCTTGTTTCACCATCCTGGGCTTCTTCAGTAGTTAAAGCACATATGTGATATTACAAGACAATGGATCTTATAGCATAGTAGTAGCTGTGGTAACTGCTTTACATGACCACAGGTTTGTTTGTTGTTGTTTTGTGGGGAAACTGTGGCATTTCAGATGTTTCTGGACTCCTCACACTACCTTGGGATCAAGACGAGACCTAGGAGAAGCTAGTAAGCCACTACGTATTCCCTGGATTTTCCAGAATGTTTGCTGAAGGGAATATACAGTAGTACCTCAGTTTAAGAACAGTCCTGTTTAAGAACAATTCGGTTTACAAACTCCGGAAAAGCAGAAATAGTGTCCTAGTTTGAGAACTTTACCTCGGTCTAAGAATGGAATCCGAATGGTGGAAGGGCACCGGCGGCGGGAGGCCTCATTAGGGAAAGCGCGCCCCGGTTTAAGAGCGGTTTCTGTTTAAGAATGGACTTCCGGAATGGATTAAGTTCGTAAACCGAGGTACCACTGTACTAGGAATGCAAGAATGCACCTGGTGCATGCTGGGTACACAGTGGAGCCAAGATGGCCACGTGCCTCTGGGAACTTACAAGGAGGATATGAAAAGGATGGTCATCCCCAGTCATTTGCCATTAGCATCTGGTAACTGAGAAGTATGGACCCTCTGAGCAGGGATGTTGCATATAAGGGCCAACCTTGATGCAAAGCTAAACACTAAAAAACCCCAGTGCTCAACAGCCAACCCAATATCCCTGTCAACAATTGTTCGGTGGAGATTTTAAAACTGGCAGCCTTCCAGTGGGGCAGTCTCACACAGGAACACCTCAAGCACAATGGAGGGAATAAGGATTTAAAACACATGGGCTGTGTCCCTGCAGAAGTGGTTGGACTACAACTCCCATCATCCCTGCTCCCTGATCATGCTGACTGAGGCTGATGGGAGTTGGAGTCCAGCAACATTGGAGTCAGGATATTTCATCAGTTACCGAGATCTTTCAAAGCGACACCCCTTCCCCACCACTCTTCTCCCAATTGCAACAGCAGCAAGCACTGACCAGTTGAAAAATGACAGAAGCTCCTTTTCTCTGAATGCATCAAGGTCGTAAACGCTCAAGGGGCACACGATGGCTCTTATTCCTCCTGAGCCAAGGCAGGTGGCCGACAGCCCCACGTAAAAGAGGACCTGCTGCTCTCTTCTAGCCAAGGTGTGGAGGACGTAGTGCTTATCTATGAAAAAATCTTCAAAGGGGAAGGCGACGACAGGTAGCAGGGCTGTACCTGCAACATGAAAGGCGGTGTGTGTGAGAAGGGCAGGATGAAAGGGTAACTAAGAAATGAAAGTATTCCTTATGACATTTTTTTTTAAAAATAGGGGGACAGTTGTGTAACCAGACCGTGTTAAACACCCAAAAGGAGTTGCCAATTCTCTTTCTGCCCCCACCAGCATCATCGAAAGGACTACCAGGCTGTGCACACACTATTATACCTTTAAAGCATATGTGCTCTTCCAAGCCCACATTTCCAGCAAGTTCACACTCCTGTCTCAGCGACATCTACACTGGCTTGGTCTTGTCCACAGAATGGAAGATGGAGGGATCTCCAAGGATGTGCTCTACAAGGAGCTGGTTTCAGTCACCAGCCCTATTGGCACATCAACTCTACGTTAAAAGGTAAAGGTAAAGGGACCCCTGACCATTAGGTCCAGTCGTGGCCGACTCTGGGGTTGCGGCGCTCATCTCGCTTTATTGGCTGAGGGAGCCGGCGTACAGCTTCCGGGTCATGTGGCCAGCATGACTAAGCCGCTTTTGGCGAACCAGAGCAGTGCACGGAAACGTCGTTTACCTTCCCACTGGAGCGGTACCTATTTATCTACTTGCACTTTGACGTGCTTTCGAACTGCTAAGTTGGCAGGAGCAAGGACCGAGCAACGGGAGCTCACCCCATTGCGGGGATTCGAACCGCTGACCTTCTGATCAACAAGTCCTAGGCTCTGTGGTTTAACCCACAGCACCACCCGTGTCCAACTCTACGTTACAAAGGTAATAATAATAATAATAAATTTTTATTTATACCCCACCCTTCCCGGTTCAGGTATCTACAAACGCGACATCAACCCTGCCGTGGGGGAATCCCTTGCAGATGACTGCAATGCCTGGAGACAGGCAGTCAGGTCGTGTATCCACAGCAGTGACCAGAGGAGGAATGACCACTGGACGCAGTGCAGAGAGAAGAAATGTCATGGTGCATCTGCAGTAGCACAACCAGATGCCTTCATCTGCCTCTGCTGCAACAAAACATGTCTCTCCCATATCGGTCTCTACAGCCAAAGGCACACTCCTCCATTGCCTCCCAAGACAGAAGGATGCCAACAATAAGATATACGTTCTTTCCCTCAAAGGATTCTGGGCACTGTAGTTCACACACGTTCACACCCACACACCACAGAGTTACAATTCCCATAATTCTTTGAGGAAGAAAATGTGCGTCAGATGTGCTTTAAATGTATACTGTGCACACAGCCACAGTTGCAGCGCATGCTACATCCATGGCAGAAGGTGCTTTATTGCTGCACAGCCGTTTTTGTCCAGAACCACCCAAAATAGTTTGGGAATCCATCATCTGCATAAATGGCAATCAAAGAAAACAAATAAAGTACCCCAATCAAGTCGCAGGGATTGGAGAATATTTTCCATTCTTAAGTTCATTCTTAAGTTCTACAACAATGGAAATCACAACAGTGATTGTCTTTTTTTAAAAAAAGTCCTCATGAAAATTCATCAGCATTTCAGTTTAAGTCTTCTAATACACACGACTGTATGCAATTCCCCCTAATATACATACCTTTGCAAAGCGATGCTCCCTATACAACGCATTGTTGCATGTTATTTCCACTTACATCTTTTAAACACAATATACCCAAGCGCATGCATTTAGCAGACATTAGCTGCAGAACTGCCTTGCAAAATTGCAAAATTCGGAGATGTGCAAATTTAGAGAAACGGCCTTGTTTCGGTTTGCGTATTGTTTGCAGAAAGCCCAAATTGGGTAGGTTCGCCTTGGAATGCTAACTGTGTCTGATTTCATCCCCATCCCTGGGAAGTGGCGCTACCAGATACCTACCTACGAAATGCAGAAACGCACAGATATACGCCAGTTTGCTCCGTCCCACCAGGCACTGGGCAAGCCAGCCCATCAGAAGCGGAGCCACCATGCAGGCGCCTACAAAGCAGAGATTGATCGTGGCTGCCTGGTGGTTGGGATAGCCAAGCTTGATAGTGCAGAAAAGGATCATGTTGCAGACGATGCCAAAGAAAGTGAACTTTTCGCACAGCTCCACCAGCAGTAGCCAGATTGTCCCTTGGATTTCCTTCCGAGGCTTAGAGCTGGAGACGCCATCGCTGTCTTGCCTGGCTGTGGGTTTTCTGCCCTCCTTCGCAGATACAGCGCTTAGCAGTTGCCCATCTGGCATGAGTTTCATATCTACAAGAGGCATCGCTTGCTGTTGCTGGAGGATAGTAGCTCGGGGCAAGGCAATCTTTTTTGTGTGAGCGCACTTCAGTCACCCGCTTCTGTAACCGGCACACAAGTGAGACCGTTGCGTTAAATTCCACATCTCGCCACAACAATTCTCAGATCCTCATCTTTTACAGATCCAAGCCATCTAAACTAACTTACTTGAGCACGCAGGTTTTTCAGAAACCAATCGGTTTAATTAGCTCGTTATGTGGCAAACACGACCTCCCCCCCCCACTCCGACCGCAAAGCAACAATTGCCTATTAAAATTATGTGAATCCAATAGAAAGTGCAGCAAACTTTATCTGCCCGCTACAGATAAAGGTTTAAATACCGAGGACGGCTAAAGCACCTCAGCAAAATTCAAGTATTGGGATCAAGGAAAAAATAATGCAGGGCTAATATTCCAACGCTTTTAATTAAGCAACCGCGGATGAAACTGGGAGCAAAGCGATAAAGACAGGAAGGATGCACATAAGCAAATGAACAATAGCTTATCGTTATAACATTTCTTGTTATTATTCGAGTTAAATTGAGATAAGAAAGTTAATTAGGAGAGGGGGGAGTATACGCCACTACATTTAAGTGCAGTAAGTCGTATCTCCGTCAGCATCCCTCCTGCCAAATAATTGCAATGGGCTAATGAAAACAGGGTGGGGGTGGGTATCGTAAGGGAAATCTCCTTGCAAAATTTATCTGTTTTGACTGTGTTCTGGTCGCAACTGTTTGCTGCGATTCAGAAGGGAGAAAGTGCCTTTTTTTTTGGAGGGAAGCAATGGTCAGAGGCAAGCAGACAAAAATTAAAACTAAAATTAAGAAGTGAATTCCATGCAGAAGGCAGCCATCGTGGGCTGACTGGGGCAGGCTGTTACATAGAGGCTCTGAACCAAACTGACTGCTGTTCTGAATCCGAGGTTCAGGGCGATGCTGCCTGAATCCCATGTTGAGAAAGGCTGCTGCTGCACTTGTTGCAAAAGCTGGCTGCTCCTGGACTGTGAATGCTGTCCACCCCTCCATCCTACACTCAGTGTTGTGCAGATGTGCGAATAAAAGTATATATCATAGGGCTGACATATGTGTGGTTTGTCACAAGACAGCGGCTTGTCCTGGATCTTTGACAAGTACAGTGGTACTTCAGGTTACAGACGCTTCAGGTTACAGACTCCGCTAACCCAGAAATGGTACCTCGGGTTAAGAACTTTGCTTCAGGATGAGAACAGAAATCACACGGTGGCGGCAGGAGGCCCCATTAGCTAAAGTGCTACCTCAGGTTAAGAACAGTTTCAGGTTAAGAATGGACCTCCAGAACGAATTAGGTTCTTAACCCGAGGTACCACTGTAAACTGAAAAAAAAATCACAGGTTTTTTTGGGCTCAACAACTTTCTTGGTATCTTGGCTTTTCCTTTTTGTAATACGGCAGCCCTAATATATCATAAAGATACCATAGTCACATACACAGCACACATATGAAGCACTACGATACCAGTTTAATAGCCATGGAGAATCCTATGAACTGTAGTTTGTTACGAGTGCTATAATAATAATAATAATAATTTTTTATTTTTTATTTTTTATAAGATATTTATTAAGGTTTTTTGAAATATTACAGTAAAAATGAAAAAGAAAAAAGAAAAATACAAAATAAAAACAGTTAAAAACACACATATTTTCAGTTACTTATTTTCCTTTAGCTTGTTTCCCGGACCTCCTCGTACCTCCCTTTTTTGTATTCCACTTCAATTTATTGGTTCAGCAAATCCTTACCATTAGATTTTAACCCATTTATAACCCTTTTTTCATATTCTCTTAGAGCATTACAGCTAGAAACCGCTTAATTACTATCCAACATCATTCTATCATTCATTAATTTTACAATATTTCTGTAAATAGTCTTTAAATTTCTTCCAATCTTCTTCCACCGACTCTTCTCCCTGGTCTCGGATTCTGCCAGTCATTTCTGCCAATTCCATATAGTCCATCACCTTCATCTGCCATTCTTCCAAAGTGGGTAGATCTTGTGTCTTCCAATACTTTGCAATGAGTATTCTTGCTGCTGTTGTAGCATACATAAAAAAGTTCTGTCCTTCTTTGGCACCAATTGGCCGACAATGCCCAGAAGAAAGGCCTCTGGTTTCTTCAAGAAGGTATATTTAAATACCTTTTTCAGTTCATTATATATCATTTCCCAGAAAGCCTTAATCCTTGGGCACGTCCACCAAAGGTGTAAGGATGTACCTTCAGTTTCTTTACATTTCCAGCATTTATTATCGGGCAAATGATAGATTTTTGCAAGCTTGACTGGGGTCATGTACCACCTGTATATCATTTTCATAATATTCTCTCTTAGGGCATTACATGCCGTAAACTTCATACCTGTGGTCCATAACTGTTCCCAGTCAGCAAACATAATATTATGTCCAACATCTTGTGCCCATTTAATCATAGCAGATTTCACCGTTTCATCCTGAGTATTCCATTTCAACAGCAAGTTATACATTCTTGACAAATTCTTAGTTTTGGGTTCTAACAGTTCTGTTTCTAGTTTTGATTTTTCCACCTGGAAGCCAATTTTCTTATCCAAATTATATGCCTCCATTATCTGATAATAATGAAGCCAATCTCTCACTTTGTTTTTAGTTTCTCGAAACTCTGCAATTTCAATTTGTCTCCTTCTTGTTCCAAAATTTCCCAATATTTCGGCCATTTGGCCTCCATATTGAGCCTTTTCAGAGCTTTCGCTTCCATCGGTGACAACCACCTTGGGGTTTTATTTTCCAATAAATCCTTGTATCTTATCCAAACATTAAACAGTGCTTTCCTGACAATATGATTTTTAAATGCTTTATGTGCTTTGACCTTATCATACCATAAATATGCATGCCATCCAAATACGTTGTTAAAACCTTCTAAATCCAAAATGTCTGTATTTTCAAGAAGTAGCCATTCTTTCAACCAGCAAAAAGCTGCTGATTCATAATAAAGTTTAAAGTCTGGCAGGGCAAATCCACCTCTTTCCTTTGCATCAGTTAATATCTTAAATTTTATTCTGGGCTTCTTGCCCTGCCAGACAAATCTAGAAATATCTCTCTGCCACTTCTTGAAACAGTCCATCTTGTCCACAATTTGCAATGTCTGAAACAAAAACAACATTCTAGGCAATACATTCATTTTTATCGCAGCAATACGGCCCAGCAGTGAAAGCTTCAAATTTGACCAGATTTCTAAATCTGTTTTCAGTTCCGTCCAACATTTTTCATAATTATCTTTAAATAAGTTCCCATTTTTGGCTGTCATATTAATCCCCAGGTATTTCACTTTCTTAACCACAGTCAGGCCTGTCTCATTCTGAAACCTCTCTCTTTCAATCGGTGTTAAATTTTTCTCTAAAACCTTAGTTTTTAGCTTGTTCAGTTTAAATCCTGCCACTTGACCAAATTCTTGAATTAATTCTAAAACCCTTTTAGTACTAGATTCTGGCTCCTGTAACGTCAATACTAAGTCATCTGCAAATGCTCTCAGTTTGTACTGTTTGGCTCCGACCTGTATACCTTTAACCAACCGGTCCCTTCTAATCATATTCAGCAGAACCTCCAGGACCGATATAAAAAGCAGTGGGGAGATTGGGCACCCCTGTCGTGTCCCTTTTTCTATCTTAAATTCTTCCGTCACCACATTATTTACAATTAATTTAGCCTTTTGTTCAGAGTATATTGCACCTATACCATTTTCAAAACCTTGGCCTACCCCCATCCCCTGTAGGTTCTTCTTCATGAAGCTCCAAGAGATATTGTCAAAAGCTTTCTCCGCATCCACAAATATCAGAACTGCTTTAGTGTTAATATTCACTTCTAGTTTTTCCAAAATGTCAATTATATTCCTCAAATTGTCAGACAAGTGTCTTCCCGGGAGAAAGCCCGCTTGGTCTTTATGAATCTCTTCCATCAATACTTTTTCAATCTCTTGGCCAAAATGTCTGCAAAAATTTTGTAATCCACATTAAGTAACGATATAGGGCGGTAGTTCTTAAGCTGAGTCTTTTCAGTCTCTGTTTTAGGTATAAGTGTAATGTACGCCTCTTTCCACGACTCTGGTGCCCTTTTCCCTTCCAAAATTTCATTGCAGACTTCCTTCAAAGGTTGCAATAGCCACTCTTTCAAGGATCTATAATATCTAGAAGTCAGCCCATCCGGTCCTGGAGATTTGCCCAATTGCATGTTTTGAATGGCACCTTCCACTTCCTGTTCAGATATTTTATAGTTCAGCATTAATTTACTTTCTTGAGAGATTTTTGTAATCCATTTGTCTTCAAGAATCGGTCTATGTCCATTTCTTTCTGTGGCCCTTGCGTGTATAATTGTTTAAAGTACCTCTGGAAACAGTTTCTAATCTCAATTGGGTTGTGTATATTCTTTCCTTCCACTTCTAAGTTTGTAATAGTATTTAATTTTTGTCTTTTTTTCATTTGCCAGGCCAACAATTTCCCACATTTATTAGCTGATTCAAATGTTTTTGTCTCATTTGTTTAATTTTCCATTCTATTTCCTGATTCATCATTTTCATGTATTGTACTTGATATAATTTTATTTCTCTCAGAATCTCCTGCGACTTTGGTTTTGCTCTCAATTTCTTCTCACTTTCTTTTATTTTCTCCAAAATTTTATCTTTCTTCTCATTCTGACTTCTCTTCTTTATTGCATTCTGTTGTATCAGAAACCCTCTCATGACCGCTTTACTTGCGTCCCAGATTACTCTTTTTACTACATTAGTGTTCATATTTATTTCAAAATAGTCTCTCAAAGTTTTTTGGGCCTTTTTATATACTTCTTCATCTCTAAATAAGGTGTCATTCATCCTCCATCTGAAGGATCCGGTTGATATTTGTTTCATCTCCATCCTTACCGCATTATGGTCGGAGCAGGTTTTTGGGCAGATTTCTACTTTCTTTATCTTTGGTGCCAATCCTCTAGTTGTCCATATT